CACACACACACACACACACACACACACATATATATATATATATATATATATATATATATATATATATATATATATATATATATATGGTTACCAGATCCTCCAGCTCTGTCCTGCAACTTGCTACATAATGGTATTCAATACGCCCGAAAATAGTTTCATAAGACTGGTGGTACATAGGATACTGGGATTTTCTTTGACACAACTAGTAAAGATATACACCGAAACCTAAGCAATGTAAGAGTCTTAATGTTTGTGTAAAGAAAACCCCAATATCCAGGTATCCAACACCACAAGGTGCCTGCTACATCGCCAGTTACCATACTTTCCTTCTGAGAAGGTAAACATAACAATTACCAGTACAAGGATACTACATATCTAGCCTATTTTTACCAATAACGCTGTGTTATTGTCCGCTTTATTCACAGGTGATGCGCATCCCCATCAAGCAAATGCCGCCGATTCCTGAAAGCCCGCACTTCGAGTACTGGCCGGTTTATCGGGATCTGACGAACGGAGACCACTACAGCTTCTGGGCGTATGACGCTGACCTGAGGGCCATCCACATCACAGACACCGGTTGGTATACTTGAGTTTCGGAAGTATTGTTTCGGGTGGCGCTGGTGTAGGGTGAGTTTGTATGTTTGGGTTCCAGGCCACACGGCACGGAGACCACTACAGCTTCTGGGCGTATGACTCTGATCTCAGGGCCATCCACGTCACAGCCTCCTTTTTTTCTTTACTTCCGGGACGGAAGTTTTGTTTTCGGTGGCGCTGGTGTAGGGTGAGTTTGTACATGTATGTACTGAAATACCAGAATACAATACAAATTGGTAGCAAATATTTCGGTGTTTTTATGTATTAAAGAGATAATGATAATTTTTTTTTTTTTTTGTTTATTACTTCGGCAGGTCCCTTGCGAGGTTACATGCAGGAGTGTTACCACCAGGCCTGTGACAACACGGATCACCTGTCCCAGAACAACATGGCCTTCCTCAAGAAGGTTACAGACGCTACCATCGACGCCGTCATGACGCTGGCTGTCTTCCCAGAAACCTGCACAGGTAAATAGGTTACATGTTCGCGTACTGAAAGACAAGAACATAACACTCGAACAACCAACGATATCATATGGAATCCCCGATCTGGAGTTTGTACTATTAAATTACTGCAAAATAGCAAAATAGTACCCAGAAGCTGTTAAAACTTGCACTGATGGGCAATACATTTCATTCTTTTCTCATTCTACTACTGGACAAATACGCACTACTACTAGATTGTTTCCAGATGTTTTGCTCTTCTTCAGCGTCACTAGAATGAACTAACAGGGCTAGAATGTCAGGGACACTGAAGAAGAGTGATGGATGTCACTTGCAACGTTCGGACGTACTCTCAGTAATTTCTCCAGTAGTAAAGATTAAATTGTCTATGTGTATAGTTAAGCTGAAAGTCTACCCTTCATCGACTCGACCACATGATCTATTTGCTCTCAACAGAAAGATGAAGACTATCCTGATTTTAAACCGATTTGAAAAATTTTGTTTGTTTTCCGCAGACCCTTGGACCAAGTCCCCTGAGATGTTGAAGAGCGGGATCAACCTGAAAGGAAAGGTCTGGCACTCCAAGAAGTCTCGCAGTCCCTTCACCATCATCCTGAAGGAGTTCAAACCGAACGGAGCGGTGGTGGCCACCCTCAAGAACGGGAGCCTCACTCTGGATCTGGATGGTACGAACACTCTAGAAGATCTAAGAAAATAATGACTTGCAAGAATATATTGTTAGACTGACAGGGAAGAACTTTAAAGGGCCTTCTACTGCAGATATATCTTAACCACTTTTTCAGCACCAAGGAAAGTACCATTTTTATCTACACGTGCTCTAGTCTTTTCTATCACAAACACTAACGTTATCTGGCTTTATCTTTGTGTTCATTAAGGGTTAGTGGATGTAATACTTTGTCCAATCCTGGCCTCTTCCCTCATGGCCTCAACGAAACGTGGTCAGGGGGCGATCTGATCGTTTCATGAATAAACAAAGGCTTAACATAAAGACACAAACAAACAAGTTTACATACAATGTCAGTGAAAATACATTATTGTTTCCAAAGAAGATGTCGAACCCCATATCACCAGTGATGTAGAAATAGAACATTACTTCAGACCGGCAATGTAGTCAAATCTCACTCACTCACTCACTCACTCACTCACTCACTCACTCACTCACTCACTCACTCACTCACTCACTCACGCACTTATTCACTAGCAATTAGGCCAGGGGCACACATTTGCAATAGGCTATTGTATAATATTTGTTGTTGTTGTCCTTGTTTAACGTCTAATATCTTGCCAGACGTGGTCTTTTGGTGCTGGTTTGTGCTTGGTTCAGTTCAGAGTCAAACTTGTCTCTAAAGGTATTTGCCTCTAGGTGTCTTGTGCTTGTGTGATGCTGGAATAGTCTTTCGGAGAGCGCGTCAAATCGGTGCGTACTCGATGTACTCGATAGTGCTGAGTACATGACCGTGAAGCCCCGTGAGGGCATTGTTCAGTATCGTATAGAATCAGAGGTAGAAGGGCTGAGTACATCTGCATCTTAATATTGTTTACTGTTTCACGTTCAGGCCGCTATAACGCGGATAACAAGTTGCTGATCCTGCGGATGGCCCAGCCGAGTAACGCCGCCGCGCTGCCGCACAAGTACGATCCCGTGTACCTCATGAAGTGGACCATGACGGGAGAGGTAAGGGATTAGCCTCCTTAGCTCGCTAAACATGAAATGGCCTCTTAAACCAAATGGTCTCTTAGACCAAATGTGTTCTATACGCAATAGAATGAGCAGGCTAGCTCTACGAAAAGGGCTTTTTTTTCTTATAATGCAGTAGCCGGCCATAGAAGTCAGTACAAGAAGCCGAGTACAAATAGAAGCAATCAGCAATGAAGAAGATTCTGAGAAAAGAAAGATCGAGTCGTATAGAGGATGTTTCACGATTCTCCACTGGCGCTATGGACTTCAGCAATCAGGATCCTATATATATAGACCTAATGGGACCACTTTCGTATTGGCAAACTACCACACGTCATGCTTACACAATCTGTTCCTCTATCCCTCTCACAGGTAGTCGGGTTCGCAGGAGGCATTCTGTACTACGGTTTTCTGGCCGGACCCAACAATGAAATAGAGGAGTTCAGCGTGACCTATTCTGAAGGTAGATGACAAAATGTGGTTTTATTCAACAAATGTGTAGGTGTTGAAAATGGTAGTACTAGAATGTACAAACACATCTTTGTGTATGTATGTATGTATGTATGTATGTATATACATGAATGAATGTGTATACATGTATGTATGCACGTAAAACAGTTTCTGCCTTCCGAAAATAATTTCATCAGGTTGGTAAAACTTAAGAGATAAGGGAATTCTTTTTACACAACCAAAGAGTCTCACCTCGCTGACGTTTCAGTGTCTGTCAGACACCTTCTTCAGAGCTTCTGACTGGAGTACTGCATCTCGCCGCTATATGTAGCCGATGTAGGTGGCGCTTTTGCGGCGAGAACACTATCCCAAACGTGGCTTAGTTTGTACCCCCCTCGTCCCGGTTCATTACAGGAGTCTGTTGGTCCACCCAAAAGACAAACTACAGGACACGGCAAAAATGGACTGCATATACAAGATCCCTTGCAAGAGCTGCAGTGAAGTTTACATAGGGGAAACGGGACGCACATTTGGGACTAGATTAGAAGAACACAAGAAGGAAGCTGACAACATGGACACAGTGAAGTACACAAGATCACAGAAAAGACATGCACAAAAAGAAGAAAAGAAATCAGCAGTGACAGATCACATTGCTAGAAACAACTGCGTAATTGACTGGGAGGGGGCAAAGTTATAGACAGAGAAGACAATAGAAGAACCCGCTGGATCAAGGAGGCAATTTGGATCAGAAAGTCAACCCCTGTAATGAACCGGGACGAGGGGGGGTACAAACTAAGCCACGTTTGGGATAGTGTTCTCGCCGCAAAAGCGCCACCTACATCGGCTACATATAGCGGCGAGATGCAGTACTCCAGTCAGAAGCTCTGAAGAAGGTGTCTGACAGACACCGAAACGTCAGCGAGGTGAGACTCTTTGGTTGTGTAAAAAGAATTCCCTTATCTCTTAAGTTTCTGCCTTTTGTTCTAAATCCTTTTTTTTCACCAGACCCCTGGGCGTGCTGCTGCTGATAGCTGTATGTGTGTATATACTATACATGTGTGCGTATATGTGTGTGTCTTTGTGTGTGTGAGTGTGTCTGTTTGTGTGTGAGTGTGTGTGTGTATGTGTGTGTGTGTGTGAGTGAGTGAGTGTGTGTTTGTGTGTGTGTGTGTTCTATGTTCTCACTAACCCTTTTCTCTCCCCCCAGATCCCTCGGTGGGCCCTAACCAGGCAAACGTGGCCCTGGGCGTGCTGCTGCTGCTGTATGTATGTATGTATGTATGTACTATGTATGTATGTTCTAACCCTTTTCCTCTCCCCCCAGACCCGTCCGTAGGCCCTAACCAGGCAAACGTGGCACTGGGCGTGCTGCTGCTGATAGCTGTCATCGCCATCATCGTTCTGGTGGCGTGCCTCGTGCATGTTAAGTGAGTACGACTAGCAATCACTTATACTTGTAACTGATGTAACTGAAAAACTATGTAAATTTGCCCATATATGTTTCATAAATGGAGAAGAATATCATCACTGGTATTATTGTGTGTTTTCCCATGTATATTGTGTATTTTATATAGGTAACCCCAGAGATACCTGAAAAACAGGTCAGTAGACCTGAGCGTACTACTCTGGTTAAATAAAATAAATGAAATGGTATATTATGTTTTACTACTTACCTTTGTCACCTCAGGCGGACACACAAGCCTTTCACCGAACTGACTGAGAAGACGTCCATCAACACCTAAGTCGACTAGGCGAAGCTGTTTTAACGTCTCCGATGCTTTTCTCGCTCTCTTAATTGCACAAGGACTTTAGTGGAAAAGATATGTTAAGGCAATAGGTTGCTATTTTGCTAAAATGCCTTATGAAACTGTAATGTAATTTAATACTTAGAACCTTTCATTATTACTATGACATGAGCAACCCATGTTTAGTATAGACATGGCAATATTGCATGTACGACAAAATATGTTAAAATGTTAGGTCTTTGATGCAAAGATTCTTGATTCTTGTGATTTGAAAGTAGACGCACTGCATATCTGTCACTACGAGATTTAAGGGCCCCATCGCTTCAGATAGTATAATAAGACACTGATTTAGATAACTACATGGATCAATAAGATATCTAGAAACCTAGATATACAACATTACAAATTCTGTGTGATATTGGATTACGCACATGCATGCCACAGCCGAGAGTGTAGTTTTCTATCGGGAAGGCAGTTGATGCATAGATGTTGCTGAAATAAAGGTGTCAATTCTAGAAAGTCACTTCTTGTACTATTTTATCTTGTCTAACCATTGTACACTTGGACTCACTCATTCCAGCCGCCCTCAAAGCCTGGTAGAGGCTAGACCAAATACTCTTGAAGTATCTGTCTAGCCTCTACCAGGCTTTAGGAAGCGGCTGGAAAGAGTGGAAATTGGCCAAGATGCCGAGGGAGTTGGTCCGGTGGAGAATACAGGCGAACACACCAGCTAGCCGACACAGGTGTACCCATCATTTAGTGCGTTCAAATACTTCAACAGAAAAAACAACAACCAACAAACGCAGGTCACCTCATTGGATCGATTAACGCCCCAAGCCAGACATTTGTAGATAATATTTAACTCTGTACCCCGGTGTACCCTGGGTAAGCGTCCATAACCGTCATTTTGTTTTTAGAGTCTGCAAATTCAAGTGCATTTTTCTCCTCCGCTTAAAACCAAGATGTTGCTCAGACGATCTTCGATCTGTCTGCGAATCTTCGCACTGTTCTTAGTAGCTGTTTTCCGACCAATTTTCGGTCAGGAGAGCCCAACAAGAGTCACGGAATCGGGTACGATCATGGGCTCGACAGCCACCGTAGAGCGGGTGGTTGTCGAGCGGTACTTGGGTGTCCCGTACGCGTCGCCACCCTTGGGCAACCTCCGGTTCCTGAAGCCCCAGCCCGTGCGGGAATGGGAGGGCGTGAAGTACGCGAACGACTACGGGGATTCCTGTATGCAGTACCCGCAGCCCGAGAATATCGCCACCTCAGAGGACTGTCTGTACCTGAACGTGTTCGTGCCGAGGGTTACGCTGGAGGAGGATGAGACCAACATGGCGGTCATGGTTTACCTACACGGAGGACGGTCAGTACAACTGTTTTTTCTAGTTACAAATTTTATGTAACAAACTGATGTTTCGTAGATACATATTGCAGAACCTTACCGATACCACATGATATTCTCCTCCTTGTGCGTCTTATCCCATGCTCAACAGAGGGTACCGGTGTTGCACAGTATACATCAAGATATTCCTACCTCACAGGAGTTCTTACTTTTCAGAAACATCAAAATGACACCCTTCACTTAATCATAGATGAGCAACTTTATTATAACAAAAAAGATAACATCTAATACGCTCAGATTGAGATCAACAACCCACAACCAATCGCCTGCAAGCACCAGGGGCTGATGCATGGTGGCAGTAAACATCTATAAAGAACCCTAGTACTTTAAAATTACACTAAAAAGTGGAACAGATGAGCAATTAGCTAAGTATTACCAGTACTCCAAATAAGAGCGTTTACCGCTTTGCCTAAGAAATAATACGCGTAGACTATCCAGGGTTAACCGTGTCTGATCCCAACCCTAACCTATTCAAGCATAGATGGGCACTGTTCGGGATACGATAACCACCTGTCACCATCACCCTTCCACTAACCCCACCGCACCCGGACTAGTTGCCAATGGACTCGTCCAGGTGAGGTAATCCTTTGCTGTCTGAGTTAATAATTTACCATGAGAATGTCGCTGTTTAACGGAACAAAAGCTCGCTGCGTCAACACAAGCCGTGTGGGACTTAGTAACAGTGGAATGACGCTGCGAATGGACCCCTATCGTACCAGGCACGGCCAGGCAGCTTTCACAGTACCACAACAAGAGAACCATACCTGATCCTAACCGGGACCCATTCAGACACAGAACTAGATAGACACGGTTCTGAATACAAGAATCCCCTCTATCATATCACAATGCCAGCACCTTAGTAACAGTGGAATGACGCTGCGAACGGACGTTTATCGTACCAGGCAGTACCTGGCGGCGTTGGCATAAAATCCAAGTGAATCCTAGGGTGGCAAAAGACAGTATCAAATTGGCCAGGCAGTATCCATTGGCCAGACAGGGTGGCGTATGGATCCTCTCTGGCAAATGGATACTGCTTGGCCAATTTGATACTGTCTTTTGCAACCCTAGGATCTGCTTGGAGATTAGCGTTTGCAGTCCCACAACAAGAGAATCCGCTTGCATTTAGCAGTATAAACACCTTACGTCATAATCGTATGACATGTTCAAAACGGAATCAATGTGTTAATGACTGGGATGATAAAAAATAATGCATTTTACCCATTTGTAAATTGGTAAGATACATTACATAAACGTTATCGTGTGATGTGACCAGGAATGCATGTAGAGACTGACTCCAGTGTACATTCTAGTGCTATAAAGAAGCTGAAACTAGTAATCATTCAACTCTCAATAGAATGATGGCTGATAGGTCAATTAACGATCTTTCTCGTCAACCAGTTCCTTGTCCATCTACTACCTACTACCTACTAGTGTTTCCGACGAAGGAAACCTACTAGAGCAAAAGTCACTTGACATCTGATCGTTACCTGTTACATGTTTAAAAAAAAATATCCCTGTCCAAGTAGCTTATTTTAAAGGGAGAATAACCTCATTGACCTGTCCAACTTCATGTCATAAAGTCATACAAGTAGTCCGTTTTGTACTCGTACAAAAGGCTGTCACAATATTCCCGTCAAAAGCTTGGGTGCATAGTGCATACCGAGTTCGCACTTTTGATTTGTCACAACAATAAATTTTAAAACGCATTCAGATATGTCCTCTAGTGACACGAGGTGTGTGTGACGCAATGTTGATTCTCCTACCGTCTGTCAACACGACACTCCTGTGTCAACCAACGGTGACCCGGCACGAGTGTCACTCCGCAAACAGACACAAAATTGAATCTCCAAAAACCTCACAGTTAAGAGGGCCTGCATGGGGGGTAGTGATTACGAATTACGCAAAATTTTCGCCGCCAATTACTAATTACGTTAAAGTCTCAGAGCTGATTACGACTTTACGCTTTGCAGATTGTTCTATTACGAATTACGTTGATTTTTGGGAGGCTGCCTACGGATTACAAAGACTAAAACGGCCTGATTACGCCTTACGAAAAAAGGCATGCAGACCCCCAGTTAAAGCTTCCTATTTAAATCCACTTCTACTTTCGAGCCGTCGGATACTTCTTCTCTTTCTCGAGTCACCAGTCGCCGCTAGATTACTGCGAAGGGATGATGTGGGGTTGTAGGTTTGTCGGGATTCGGTTGGGCGTAGTCATGTTGCTGTTGGTCGCCGTCGCGGCCGCACAGAACCCGACAACGGTTACAGACTCTGGGCGAGTACTAGGCTTCACGACAACGGTGGAAGGCGTAACGGTTGAGAACTACCTCGGGGTTCCTTACGCGGCAGCACCGATCGGGAACCTTCGCTTCAAGCCACCAGAAAAAATCCGTCCCTGGGAGGGAGTGAGATACGCCACGGACTTCGGGGACCAGTGCATGAGGGCGCCGCGCGTGGGAACGCAACCGTCCGCCGCTGTGGCCATGTCCGAGGACTGTTTGTTCCTGAACGTCTTCAGACCACGGACAGCCGAGACGGAGGACCTGGCGGTTATGGTCTTCATTCCTGACGACGGGTTAGTCTGTATAGTAACTTTTCCCTAGAACCTAAGCCAGAACCTATCCAGAACCGTGCCTATCCAGTTGTATATGCCTGAATGGGTTAGAGCTAGTATCAGGCCATGTCTGAGGACTGTTTGTTCCTAAATGTCTTCAGGCCACGAACAGCCGGCGCGGAGGATTTGGCGGTTATGGTCTTCATTCCTCATTCACGACGGGTTGGTGTACATCATACGATAGTTTGTGTATTAGCTGTCCTCTTAAACTCTGATCAATGGTTATCGTATCTGGAACCGTGCCTATCTAGCTCTATGCCTCAATGGGTTAGTGTTAGACCGTTTAGGATCAGGCATGGTTCTGGATAGTCTCCACGTATATCCAAGAACGTAAATTTGTCCCAGGCACGGGTCTGGATACCCCTCGACTGGATAAAGCATTCTCTGGATACAACAGTACAGTTTGTGAACAGCATATACGAGTATCTATCTTTCCAGGGGTATTTCACCCTATTTCTAACTTCCTCGTGGCACGCTACTGTACAGTATACAACCCTACAGTACACTAACCTACTGTACACAAATATGCCCACTCCTGGTTTATAACCGGGCAGGGTCAATAAGGAAATACACAGCGTATGACAACATGCGTACTGGTAGTTTTTTGGTGAGCATACGTGTATCGTTAAGTTTTCAACAATGGCTAGGAGAGTATATTCAGATGATATGTGTAGGACTGTGCAGGATACCTGGTAGTCACTGCAAATAGATACCCAAATATTTCGTTGTTTGTTGACGTAACGACTCTGTTATCTACTGAATGTAGATTTAAGAGTGTCAATGCAGGGATACAACATAACTGCTTAACCATGAAGCATCAAGGCTTGCTATGACTACCCTAACTGCTAGACTATGCACAATTTGGACATTACTAATCACTTGCGTAATCGTTACACACAAAAAAAAACCTTAAGTGTTGACTTCCTCTTTGAGGGTTGTATATTCAATGAATCATCGTTGTATTCCTGTACATGTAGATACAGTTCGGACGCGGCGACCTCCTATAGCTATAACGGGGAATGGCTGGCGGCGGAAGGGATGGGACACATACAAACTCCCCATAAACCAGCACCCCTCAAAACAATACTTCCAACTCGGAAATAACAATTCCATTTTGTCGACTTTCTCTCTTAGCACATTAGATTCAATGAATCATCCTTACTGTCAATCCGCAGATTCAATTTGGAGACCTCGAGGTTCTACTCTGACATGAAACACAAAAACCTCCGTTTAACCAGCGCCACCCATAACAATACTTCCGTCCCGGAAGCAATAAATCATTGTTGCAAATCATCAAAGTAATGAATCATCCTGTATATTTACTTCGGCAGGTTGAAGACACAAGGACACAACACTGGGCCTGCTAGGGATTCGAACCCAGAACCTTTAGACTCAAGTCGAAAAACCGTAACCACAAGACCATATTGTGTTTCTACAGGTTCAATTCCGACACTGCGACGGCCTATAACGGTGAGTGGCTGGCAGCAGTGGGAGAAGTGATCGTGGTGACCGTGAACTACCGTCTGAACGTGTTCGGGTTCCTCAGCACCGGGCACCCATTACTATACTTCCGTCCCAAAATTAATCATTCCTTCTTGTATTCCTGCAGATTTAATTCGGACACGGCGACGGCCTATAACGGAGAGTGGCTGGCAGCAGTGGGGGAAGTGATCGTGGTGACCGTGAACTACCGTCTGAACGTGTTCGGGTTCCTGAGTACCGGGGACCGGACGGCCCCGGGGAACTACGGGCTTCTGGACCAGCAGGCAGCCGTGCAGTGGGTCAGGGACAACATCGACAACTTCGGCGGGGACCCTAACAGGTGACTGATCTACAGTATTTTCATATTAGTTAAAGTAGTTTCTGCACCAAGTAATGCATAGGGTGGCGCCCACCTTCTTGTATAGCCAATTCTAGTGTCATATATATTGCCATGTTCCCTCAGTGTAAGCTCAAGATGTTGTAACAATGCAATCATTTGTTCCTTCATTCTACTTTGTATATAATCAGTAGCGAAACTGCATTGCACTAGTAGCTTCTTGAAAAGGCATCTTGCTTTACCTCAGTTGTGGATGACTGCTTTACTTCATGTATAATCACTGGCAACAAGACAATGTAAAGGCAACGTATATCCCCAACCGAGTTTCAAGTAATGATCGTAACATGACTCCCATTTTTTATCAGGATAACCCTGTTCGGCCAGAGTGCGGGCGGTGCGTCGGTCAGTATGCAGGTTCTCTCCCCGCAGAACAACGGCCTCTTCAAGCGGGCTATCTGCCAAAGCGGCGTCGCCATGAGCCCTGGCATGATCAACCTGGACCCGTTGGCGTCTGTCCGCGCGCTGTGCGAGTACCTGAACTGCCGTACCCAGGACCCGGTGGACATGGTCACGGTGCTCAGGAGGGTCAGCGCTAACGAGCTGGCACGGGCAGCAGCAAGGTTCACAGGTAAACAAGTACTGGTTAACAGCCATTGAGCGTAGTAACACAGCAGTTTTGTACTGTTTTGTACAGTACAGTAAATATAAGCGGCATTATTACAAGACCGGACTGTAAGGGATTTAGATAGATGTTGAATACCAGGACCCGGTGGACATGGTCACCGTGCTTAGGAGGGTCAGCGCTAACGAACTGGCTAGGGCAGCAGCAAGGTTCACGGGTAAACTTGGTGATTTGTTTCTAGCCTCTACCAGGCTTCGGGAGGTGGCTGGACAGAGTAGAGTAGAGTTTGTCGCTAGAAGAGTAGTTTTTGGGGTGCGGCAAACTGTACTCTTCCGGCTGACCTACTCCCCCGGCATGTTATCTCTCTATTTGGCCTCCCGAAGCCTGGTAACTACACTGAGGGGATCTGGACCTCCGAACTAGACGGAGACTTGTGCCTGATTCTAACCCTAATGCACTAAGCCATACAACCAGACACGGCTCTAGATACGATAGAGACTATCCAGAACCGTGCCTGATCCCTTACCCATCCAGGCATAGAACCAAATTATGGATAGCGTACTTATTCATGTAATCATTCCTAGTAATTTAGTTGTTACGTTATGTGCCCTCTTCATCAGGTAACTACACGGAGCGGATCTGGACGCCCGTGATAGACGGAGACTTCCTTCCAGACGACCCTGTCCGCCTGCTGGAGCGCGGCTCGGTCCCGGACAGGCAGCTGCTGCTGGGCTTCAACCAGGACGAGGGCGCCTACCTGATGATGGAGGGTCTACCGGGGTACTATATCAACAACAGGGCCACCTACAACTACTACATGAACGCTTCACTGTTCCACGCTTTCCCTACTAACACTGAGGTAAGTTCATGATTCGTTGAAGGTTGGACAGGTAAACGACATTATAAGGGCATTTTGGGTGGGGGAGGGCATGCCTGGCTACTACATCAACAACAGGGCTACCTACAACTACTACATGAACGCCTCACTGTTCCGCGCTTTTCCAACTAACACTGAGGTACGTTCATGAAGGCTAGACATCAAGGCAAACTACATACCGAAAGAGAACTTACTGTACGAAGCTCTGTTAGTGCAGCAAGACTTGCACCGATGTAAAATACCATGCTGGATGTCAAATATTACTAGAATACTCGAGGAGTCAGGTTTTGCCTACCTTTTACTCCAAAAAGACAGAAACACATCATCTGCTCAATCTGAATTACAACAAAGACTAAAAGACAATTATCTTCAATATTTCTACTCAGAAACAAACTCCAAATGCAGCAAAAATGGAAAACAAGGAAATAAGTTAAGAACTTACAAAACAATTAAGCTTACGTATGAAAAAGAACAATATTTAGATGTACAAAACTTCAGTCATCGCCGAGCAATGACAAAATTAAGGATTAGTGATCACCAATTACAGATCGAAATCGGTAGGTACAACCAGACTCCTGCAGACAGCAGAATTTGCACTCTATGTAACTATAACTGTATAGAGGATGAAGCACACTTTGTTTTAGAATGTGCGGTGTACAATGACATCCGGAAATCTTTTATTAGCTCCTTACAGTTAGAAAAGAAATTTGCATACTTGCCGAAAATAGAATTGTTCAAACATATTATGACATCCAAGCGCTATGATATAATTGAAAAAACTATGTAAATTTGTTCATACATGTTTCAAAAAGAGAGAAGAGATCCTGTAATTAGATCTTGTAGATAGAGAAATAGCATACGAATGTAACAATTGCTTTTTCTATTCTTGTTACCAAGTTATTTAACTTAAGTGCCCGTGTAGGGCGTGAACATGCAATAAAGTTCATCATTGTCATCATTGTCATTGTCATTATATCATTCCCAAGTAATATGTATTCCCTACTAACACTGAGGTACCACAGATGTTGGTACATGTAGTACCAACATCTGTGTACATACTACCTTGGTACATGTAGTACTTTTTACAACGTCCTTGGCTCAAGTAAACATCAATAACAAAGTACTACATGTACCAAGGTGGGTGAAGGTAGACAGCAAATCATCACCTTGCACTTCAATAACAACATTTCCCCATGTCCAGGCGGTTGTAGAAGCCGTTGCTTTAGAGTACGGCTCGTGGAACGAGACGAGTGCTGATTCTCTGCAGCAGACCTTCAGTAAACTACAAATATTCACATGCATCTTCCCAATCTCTTTAATGATAACATTCAAGTCCAGACGGTTGTTGACGACGTTGCGTTAGAGTACGGCTCGTGCACTCCGAGTGTGGAAACCCTGCAGTAGACCTTCCGTAAACTACACAATCATCATCCGATATGTCTTTAACATTTGATATTCCCTCTCATCCCAGGCTGTAGTGGAAGCCGTAGCGCTTGAGTACGGCTCGTGGAACGAGACGAGTGCTGACTCCCTGCAGCAGACCTTCACCACGATGGAATCAACGTTATTTACAAACTAATTACTTACGTTTCCAAGGGCATTAACGTACAATAAAGGTATTTCATTCATTCTTTATCTCCTTAATTTCATCTCCCATTCTTCTTAATTCTCCATGCCCAGGCTGTAGTGGAAGCCGTTGGACTGGAGTACGGTTCGTGGAACGAGACGAGTGCGGATTCTCTGCAGCAGACCTTCACCACCATGTACGGAGACTTCGCCTACATCGCCTCCACCATGCAGATGGCAAACCTATACAGAAAGGTAGGACTCGTGTTGGCTCATGACGCAGACACGCGTCAGTCAATGATCTGGCCTTGAGTCTAGTCTGTCTGACGGGGTTCCGGATCTTAATTTGGGAGCAGAATAAAGGCAATAAACATGGGTTCCAGGTTATCGGTGTTCTCCAAGATTGAGGTTAAATACGGTAGTTTAATTTCTAAATTTGTGTTTTCTATCTACCTAACAAGTGCAAAGATAAACAGACATTGGGTAAGGCATAGTGTTCTTATTTATTTCTGTTAGCCTGTTTACAAAAACGTTCACTGTCAGGGCCTCATTGGGCCTTCTCCCTGGCATAAGGTCTCCAGAGCTTGTGGCGTTCATCTTTAACTGTAGATAACCATTCTCGTTTCCAATAGGAGCTCAGGATTCTCTGTCACTATGGAAACCAGTCATCACGGTCTCCAACATTATAGTAAATGACAGTTCTAGCAACACTTGGTCCATGTCATAAAGCGTTTACTTCTAGGGGGCTGGGCAGTGGTAGGGCTGGTAGAAGATGTGCTAGTGATGTATTCAGGTTACATCCCTGTATTCCTTTCCGTTTTGTTCGCAGTTGAGAATGTCTACGTACGTGTACCAGTTCACGCACGCTCGGCGGTCCACCCTGCCCGCCTGGGCAGGAGCCGTGCACGGGGACGAGCTGTACTTCCTCTTCCCCACCGCTAGGGGGAACAACCCCGACCTCATGACGGACGACGAGATGCAGCTGGTCAGGGTCATGATGACGTACTGGTCAAACTTCGCCAAGTCCGGGTAAGATTATCAGATTGCTTTTAACAATTATTGCAGTTAGATACTAGATGTACAATCTGTCGTTCAGTGTGATATAGCCGGCTGCTGGTAGGGCTATGATGATGTACTGGGCAAGCTTCGCTGGGTGAGATTGTGTTCATACAAGTCTCTTACGAACAACGAAATTTCAGCATCCTAGCTGATAGGAGGTCCAAACTTTCACTACGTCTTGACGTCTACGTAGCCAGTCAAAAATCAGGACTGTGGCATGTCAAGAACACCAGATATCAAAAGAGGAAATTCTGCTGCAGTACCAAGGAAGAATGCCAGGGCATCCAAGATCTAACCATCTCTTTGATATGTCAAGACAATATAACACACATCAAGTTTCATGACAATTCATGTAGCTTCTTGAGTTATTATATTGTACATGATCAACTGCATACACACAAACATGTACATACACACTCACAAATGCTACCAGAAACATAACCATCTAGGTAAAGGTAAAAATGTCAACCTTCAAATATTTCCAGATAATTGCGACGACGAGTGTGATTTTTGCTGGAAGAACCCGTAGCTGAAGTCAATTTGAGATATGATATGAGATATGATGTGAAATATAATATGATATCCTTTCTCCCAGGAACCCGAACAACCCCTACAACCCTGTCCTGCCGACCAGCTGGCCCCGTTACCAGGGTGACCAGCGGTTTATAGACCTGACCATCCGCATGTCGGACACCTCCGCAGGGCAGTACATCCGGCCCAGGAGGACCTTCTTCTGGACAAGGATGATGCCTGCTCTAGACTCGCAGTCCTGCAGGTATGTTTTTTTCTATGAAGATTTACCACATTTGTGGAAGGATTGACATAACAGGTGACTATCACCTCTTCAAGATGTCAAACCTGAGACCAGACTGTAAGGTTTGAACCACTCACACCGGGAAGGTCCCCTACTCTTTTCGATAAGTGCAGTATGTTTTTAACGTGCATGGGGCGTGGCTCTCCCCAAACACGGGACCTCCATTTAACGTCCTATCCGAGGGATAGTTTTGTAGATAGCCGTGGTAACTCGGTAAGCCTTTTGTATGTATACTTAGGAGCCAGTATAAGAATACAAAAGACTTGCCGAGTCGCCACGGCTATTTTGTTTTATTTTTCTTCTGGACCAGGATAATGCCTGCAGTGATATTGCAGGTATGTACCTATGTCTAAAATTTATAGACTGGTCACAGACATGTACGGTGGGAATCTATCTGCTGAAGAATACTTGAGACTGTTGATGACCAGAATACGGACGGCAACGCGTGGCTGGAGGCCCTGTGCACACACACACACACAGACACACACACACACACAGGAAGGGAAAAAGAGCGGATGAGAGAAATAAACAAAGAGATAGGTACACAGCGAAAACGGCCTTTGTAAAGTGTATCTACTGTTTCAGTCCCGAGACCGTGGACGACCCGACCACGAACGGTAACGCTTGGCTGGAGGAGGAGGTTTTACTCGGGATGCGGAGGAACGACCTCATCCAGCTGGGCGTGGTGGGAGGGGGGCACACACAAACAAACAAACAAGCATAAAAAACAAACAAAGAAACAAACAATCATAACAAACAATACATGGCCGGAGGAGACCGTCTTGTGTACACATACAGAGACATACAGAAACACTCACACAGACAGAGAGAGAGAGAGAAAGAAAGAGAGAGAGAGGGGGGGGGTGAGTGAGAGAGAGAAAGAGAGAGAGACGGGGAAAACAACCTCCGTAAACAACCTATATTTCCTTTTTCAGTCCCGAGACCGTTGACGACCAGACCAGTAACGGTAACGCCTGGCTGGAGGAAGAAGTTTTACTCGGGATGCGGAGGAACGACCTCATCCAGCTGGGCGTGGTGGGCGGGATCGCCATCCTCCTCATCCTGGTGTTCATCATCTCCTGCGTCATCTGCTGCAAGGTGCTGTCCCTCAGCAGGATCATGCGGTACGACGACTCCAAGCTCGGGCTCAGCAGCTACGCGTAAAATACTGTGTAACGGTTATAGCTTTTCGGTATTTTGAAGTATACTAGTAGTAACTGTATCTGTCTCAGTGTCCTGTAGATTGCTGTTTATTAGGTCCTGTCTCTCAGCAGACCCATGGTAATAACGACTCCAAGCTGGGACTCAGCAGCTACGCGTAATGTAGCCTGTTTTATAGCTTACTCTTCGCTGTCCAATGAATGAGGGTTGATGTTGATAATGATTGTCAGTTTTGGTTTAAAAAAAATGCGCGTACGTGAGTGACGTAATTGGAATTCGATTCCACATGCTTCAAGCCGTGTAAATATGCATCGAGAAGCAAACCAGTTGTTTTATACATTCTTCTGTATTGATATGTGGTGTTTTGCTGGCTATGTAGGAATTGGAAATCTAAATATACTTTCCCTAACCAAAATGGAAACTACGAAAGGTTGTGAAATGTAACGTTCTTACTGGAGATGTAAAGTTTGTGTTGTTCGTCTACTCTTTCTTTAACAACTTTTCTTCTTGTTTTGGAGGATATTACATTTGTTAGACTGTTTACTAAAATGTCCTATTTCAGATTGTATTGTTGAATAATTGCAACGAGTTTGTGAATAAACTGTTATGCACAACGTTAAGGGCTCGAGCTGTCTTTTTTTTAGTATTGAAAGATTAAAGAAAACGTCCACCCCTCTACTGCGGACGAAGCCATGAAAGCATATCAGCTTATGACTGACAAACGTCGACCTTTGTTTGAAGCAAAATAATGGAAAAAAAGAAACACTGGTGTATCAGCTACACAAGAACACACATTTACTTTGTACAGAGGGAAAATAAGTACACAATGTTAGCAGCATCGACAAGGTTACATGGTCCACAATTACAGTGCTAGCATAGTGTGTTAAGTCAGCTGTTTCTCAATCCAAAAAAAAGCTGGATTGCACCGTAAAAAAAGTATTGCACTTACAGCACGATAAATTCACACACAATGGAAAAATATATGGGTACTTTTTGACTCACAAAGTTTCAAAGTTTTACATGGGATACAAAAATAAAGCAACTCCGTCTCTTTTCTGCACACTTTTTACACGTTTATACAAAGAAAATTTCACCAGCTCGCCCTTTTGCACAAAATGAAAGGACGCTTTTTCCTGCGCCTATTGGCATAGCACTTAGGAATCATAGGCATCCTTTGAGCCTTCTTGGGATTTGCCCTTGGGATTCGACCTTGGGATTTGACCTTGAGATTTGACCTTGGGTTTGCCCTTGTGATGTCCCAAAGGTGAAAGGTCTGTTGAATTCCCATGAAGCTATGCGATACGTGCAGACCTCGTGACCAAATTGTGATACTCTACCATTCAGACTGCCCAGCGAATAATGATTTTAAATTTTAGTTGATTTTCAAGATCGTTAATGGTTATGGTAAATGCTGGCACAGGTTTAGGAGTTAGGGGTCTGTACTTCATGCAATCTATTCATTCACAATCGCTGGGGAATTTTCTCCAATGGTAGAATATCTCACAGAGGCCATGGCGAGCGTCTAGGCGAAGACAAAGTCATTGTCAGTCACTCTTTAGCCGTCTGAACAATGACAAAAAAGCCCTTCTGTACAAATATACATAAAGAAAGGTTACATATTTACATGGCAAATCTATACTAAGTTTCTACTTCTAAACTACCACTACGGCTAAACTACGTTGTTGATAAATAATACGGTTATATACAAGACCAGTCAAGTCTATCTACTAGTTAGTACAGAGTTAGTGGTGCTCCTGAGTTGTAGAAGTGGCCCTGGTTAAAGCTGTAGGCCGGCTCGTGTACTGAGTACGCTGCTGAGTACATGAGCGGGTCGCCCTGCACGATGATCCAACTGTCCGGCGTCTGATCGGGCGTGCCTCCTCCTGGCGATGCGGTCTTCCCTTCCGGAGACGGTTGCGTGCTGCTGTCAGCTGGTGACGGCGCAGTTGGGGAGGGCGCACTCTGCAGAGGTCACAACAAATATGGTATAGGGTTACATTTACAATATTACATTTACAAAGTAATTAGGGCATTTACAAATGTTTGTCTTCATGAATTCACACAGGGATGGTCTAGCTCAACTACTGCTGTTTATTCTGGCTCGAAGACATCCATTTATGTGGTGACCAGCCCCTCTAACATAGTCCTGCTACTTGCTACATATGATATATGTAACCCACGCCAACACCACAATGGGTCTGCTACAGCACCAGTTACCATGGTGACAGACTTCTGGTCCAGGTCATTGACCTTATTGTTTGAAAAAGAAGAAGAAGAGAAGAAGAAACAGATCAAAACGTAATATTCTTTCGTTCTAGGTAAGCATAACAGAAAGACACGTATCTAACTTAGTCGTCGGTGGCTAATGGACACTCCTCTGACCGATGGACACTGCCTTGCCACCGTATGATCTGCTTTGAGATTAATCTAGTCTGCGATTGTACCTACCTGGCTGTGGTTGTACGGCTGTGTGGTGTAGCCGTTGTGCCTGAGTTGTACTTACCTGGCTGTGGTTGTACGACTGCGTGGTGTAGCCGTTGTGCCTGAGTTGTACTTACCTGGCTGTGGTTGTACGGCTGTGTGGTGTAGCCGTTGTGCCTGAGTTGTACTTACCTGGGTGTGGTTGTACGGCTGTGTGGTGTAGCCGTTGTGCCTGAGTTGTACTTACCTGGGTGTGGTTGTACGGCTGTGAGGTGTAGCCGTTGTGCCTGAGTTGTACTTACCTGGCTGTGGTTGTACGGCTGTGTGGTGTAGCCGTTGTACCTGAGTTGTACTTACCTGGGTGTGGTTGTACGGCTGTGTGGTGTAGCCGTTGTGCCTGAGTTGTACTTACCTGGGTGTGGTTGTACGGCTGTGAGGTGTAGCCGTTGTGCCTGAGTTGTACTTACCTGGCTGTGGTTGTACGGCTGTGTGGTGTAGCCGTTGTGCCTGAGTTGTACTTACCTGGCTGTGGTTGTACGGCTGTGTGGTGTAGCCGTTGTGTCTGAGTTGTACTTACCTGGCTGTGGTTGTACGGCTGTGTGGTGTAGCCGTTGTACCTGAGTTGTACTTACCTGGGTGTGGTTGTACGACTGCGTGGTGTAGCCGTTGTGCCTGAGTTGTACTTACCTGGCTGTGGTTGTACGGCTGTGTGGTGTAGCCGTTGTGCCTGAGTTGTACTTACCTGGGTGTGGTTGTACGGCTGTGTGGTGTAGCCGTTGTGCCTGAGTTGTACTTACCTGGCTGTGGTTGTACGGCTGTGAGGTGTAGCCGTTGTGCCTGAGTTGTACTTACCTGGCTGTGGTTGTACGGCTGTGTGGTGTAGCCGTTGTGCCTGAGTTGTACTTACCTGGCTGTGGTTGTACGACTGTGTGGTGTAGCCGTTGTGTCTGAGGCAGGCGTCGTCAGGCCGGTTCCCCACGTACCGCCGACGTACGGCTGGCGGTCGGCTGCGGGGTGGGACGCCGCCGGCTCCTGGGCGGGGCCCCGACAGGACTCGGGCGGGGACCGGGCGGGCCCCCGGCACACCTCGGCCGGGGACGGCACGGGAGACGGGCTACCCGAGGACGACGGGGTACAGCCGTCGTAATGAAAATCCACTGGAAATGGAAGAAAAGGGCATTTCTATTACTATACTGCACGGATGAAAACTTCATGTCCTATTAGAAATATAATGGCTCTCCCAACAATGCACCATATATACACATGTCTCAGAATTGATAACACAATTATTTGTTAAAAATACATAAATGTGTACGACTAAAGTAAACATTTTACGTTAGTAAACTAACACTTTACTTGACCATCTCAATCAAATAGAAACTCTTGTTTGTTATGATGTGTGTGTGTGTGTGTGTGTGTGTGTGTGTGTAACCAGCAGTGTATGTATGTTTGTGTGCGTGCACGCGTGATTGTGTGTTTGTGAGCGTATGTGTGTGGAGTTTGGGCATTGGGAGACTTTGACGTCTTACCAGGGTACGCATTATGTGTTTTTCATGTTTGTGTATGTGTATGTGGAGTTGTACATGTGTATGGGTGTGGGTGCAGACATACCGGGATACGCCATGCTCCTCCTGATGGCCTCCGGGTCCTTCTTCTTCCACTTACGGACCTCAGACATCATCTTGTCCACCTTGTCCGGGTGCAGCGCCCACAGACAGCCCTTGCGGTTCGGGTCGGCCTGGGACGGCTCGATCTTCAGGAAACACTTGTTCAGTGACAGGTTGTGCCGGACTGAGTTCTGCAACATGGTGAAAGAAAAAAATGTCAACTTTTAAAATAAGAATGACACGACACTGAGTTCTAGGCAACATGGTGGAAAAAAAACACAAAGATACTAGTATGTTGAATATCAATACAGCAAATTTTCAAATGAGAATGACACAACACTACCACAAACTTTCATGTTGAGATTTACCACATTTGGCTATTGCATTTTTACTCGGATGTCAACCCTGCGATGGACTATAAAGTTTTACCACTCACGCCTGAAAGGACCCCTTCTCTTTTTGATAACTATGGTGGGTTCTTTAACGAGTTTAAGGTGTGATTCTCCTCAAGACGTGCCATCTACAGAAAAGCTTGGCATTGTCTCTATGCTTTGTCTAACTTAGATCTGTCAAGATTGTGTTGTCTTGGAATACACATTCTATCCTAAATTCCCACTACAAACAAAAGCAGGTGAGCAAAAGGCAAACTTACTTTCCAGCCATCCGGCGCTGTTTTGAAGTAAGGGTAGTGCTCCCTGAAATGAAAAGAAATCAACTGCATATCATCTTGAGTATTGAGTAAATGATCAATCAGTGTGTTAGGATTGTAAAGTTCTTGATGTTTAAGTTGCAGCTGTTTTAGTTATACATTGTATACAGATGGTGATTTGTTCAATTGAAAAAAATATGAAGGTAATGTCACTTCAAAACTATCCCAGTGTTTTATCAGTAAGTTTACAGGAATTGTGAAAAATTCATTTTTGAAAATAAAATTTTTAAGTACAGCTAATGACTGGTGACTTATGGAAGTTGTAACTGGAAGTGCCGTAACGTTTGAAACTAACTGATAAACGTTCCGACACTTTACCTGATGAAGCTGTATATCTCCGTGACGGGCATGTTGCCGGTTCTACTCTTCATCATGGCCAGCGCGATCAGGCAGCTGTACGAGTAGGGAGGCTTCGGAAAAAACTCATCGTCCTCAGAGGTGTGAAAAATGTAAAATGTTTTATTTTATTGCAAATTCATGCCAGAGGGCTAAAAAAATTGCAAGAACAGAAGAAACATTTGGTACAAGAACAGGCAATTACACAGAGAACTACTGATAATCCCTAACAAACTACTGCCAGTACTGGTAAAATAAGGAGATCTTGTAATTATGTAGATAGGAGATAGAAAAAGAAAAACGGAAAACTTAGGAAAGGAAATGAAGAGAAAGGCATTTCTGACTTGAAGCCGAAAAAGGGAACACTGGGAAGAGAGAATGCACAAGAAGAAGAAGCAGACAAGCAGGCGACAGAACTTTCATTAACGTTGAAGGTGGTCGCCTTTAATCTCCAAGCAGATCTTTTGGTGGGGGTAAGACCGTATCAAATTGGCCAGCCTGTATGATGGGGAAATTGTTACAGACTGACAAATTTGATACTGTCTTACTCCCACCAAAAGATCTGCTTGGAGATTAGTCGCTTTAACTGAAAGAAGAAGAAGCACAAGCAACAACATTGAGCGGAAAATAACATCAACACCAACCTCCGAGTCTTGTGCAGAACATCCCTGTAGCCGGTTAGCTGACGGCGAGTCGGCAAAGCCGCTGTACCGAGGGCTGGCTTCGGAGGGCGGGCTCGGGCTGCCGCTGGACGCGGAGCCGTAACCCACGAAGTCGTTCCTGTACTTCATGTGTGCGTTGTTGTCCTGGTTTATGGAGTTGTAGTTGTGTCCATGCTGCATGTGCCCGGTGGTTGCACGGACACCGCCTGGGACGGAGTCGGTGTACATCCCCGTCCTGGAGAAGACGTTTGTAAGAGATAGTAGAATATTCATCAATCAGTGACTGTTTTAAAGGTAGAAACACGTACATGCGTACCTCCAAATTTGCGATGTCGATTGTATATCTTGATCACGGAGTGACCTAGTCTCGCGAGAACACGAGACAAGGTCGAAACTTGTGCGGGTCTTGTATTATAAGGGTTTGTAACTGCACCTTGTACGTGATTGTAAGCTATATGACATTGAACGTGACATGCTGTTTAGAACAATCCACCTGAACAAAATGTGTAAAGGTAGAACAAGAAAAGAGATCATGATTTAATCATCTCATGACTACCACTTACATCATCACCATAATCTCCAAGCAGATCAAACGCAGGCAAGGCAGTATCCATTGGCCAGAAGAGTGTCCATAGCTATAGGTGGGGAAATGGATACTGCCTGGCAAATGGATACAGACTGGCCAACTTGATACTGTCTTACCCCCACCGAAAGATCTGCTTGGAGACCATGCACTTAGCCCCATGGGCATGAACACGCAATAAATAAAGTACAGTACACAATAAACAAAGTATACCTGACGCCGCACGGGTACGGCTGAGAGACAGGCGAGAAAGTCCTCGGGTTCACGATCACAGGATGGTCGCCTGGAAACTCCGGGCCGCCGCCTGAGTACTTCTCATGGCACGGAAAACTGTAGTCATGGAAGTACGGATAGTACCACCCTGCAGACTTCTGTTGCCAGTCCCGTGCATAGTTGTAGGAATCCCCTGCTGTAAGACCGCCGTAGTTCGGGTCGTGTGTGAGAGAGAGTTGGTCGATGGTGTTGGTCAGGACTTGCTGCATTTCTGCCCGTAGTTCTTGGATGGTGTCCTGCACAATGTAGTTCATATCGTTTGGAGCACAAGATGGCGGCGGCAGGAAGACGATGGAAGTGTCGGCTGGCGGGCTCACCTGTACCTGAGTTCGTGACGTGCCCTCACCGGCAGACAATCTCATCAAGTCGGGCATTAACATTCAAATTTCCCGCCCAAAAGTGACGGGCCTGATTGTCGTCATTTGCATAAGAAGGGATACTAACTGATAGTCTTATCTGTCTTTGTTGGCCGATTCTTAAACGATTAGCAACCTTTTATTAATAGTACAGGTCATAATCATGTGTCGAATGAGCTGGTCGAATTGTCTATGCTCAATGAGTCAATAGTCAATACACAATGACATGAGCAATATGATAGCACTTTGCGCGTTACACAATTTAGTGTTTAGTGCGACGTCATTCAGTACTGTACATTAAATGTTGTGTCATTTTGGACTTTGATTATAACGTTCTGGCATGAATTTTATTGATACTGACTCTGGGAACAGAGAACTTATGAATTTCCTGAAAGAGCCTAAATTTTCGGCTCCATTTATGCATTTGTGTCGTACCACGTACAGCCGCTAGGTGCCGCTCTTACAGAGGTCAGAGGTCAAACGTCTGTTTTTGTGTACTGAATGGAATGCTTTGCGTTTGAATTTTTGCCCAAATTCACTGAACACCGAACAAAGTGGACGCCATGGAGTGTGAGGAGGTACAAGAAGAGCTACAGTCTCCTACAAGGTCATCGGTTTCTCTTCCAGAAGGTCAGCAAAATGGCGGTAACGCCCGAGATTTCGAACACTTGAAAATCCCCCCTCCCCCCAAGATGGCCTCCACCAACCCGTCTGGACTTGCCCAAACGACAACTTCAGCTGAAGACGGGCCACAGGAAAAACGGAGAAAGATCACCATGGACCCGGGGGCGTGTCTGGAATACTCCAACTCTGAAGTAGGTGCGAACCCTCTCAAAAATCCTCTGTTGGTGAAGAAGAGTAGCAAGAACATCAATGAAATTCTCATGCCACGGAAACCAAGGGACAACAAAAATGGAAAGAAAGTGCCCACCACAAGTTCTGGCCGGGTGTTCACAAGGTTTAGAAAGGCCAGTACCTTTACTTCGACTCAATCCCAAGGCGTGGCAGGCGCGAACTTGGCAATGAACAACAGAATGAAGGATTCCAAAATGGACGACTTTTTCATCAGAGACAACAAAGACAACTCCAGAAATCCATCCAAAAACCCTTGCACATCTTCGCCAGACAAGAGTACTCACAACTCGAAGGGACAGAACTTCAAAAGGACATGGACAGGAACACAAAAGGCGTCAACATCATCAACTATAACAACAGAAACATGTCTACGGACACCGACAAAGACTAGTAATATTGCAGCATTTTCCATGTCTTCTCCGAGTTCCAGTTCACAAAAGACTAGCCCAGGTTTGTTTGTAGACTGGTTTATTTTATATCATTTTCAAGCATGTTTGCAGCTCTAGGGCTGAATGGCACAGTTTGTACAATGCCACATAATGATGAAAATATACAATATATTATATATTCTAACTAGTTAAAATACACACTTAACTTGTTATTAGTTAACATACACACTTAAGTTATACAAATTTGGTCAATACTACAATAAAATTCTTGTAATTTGTATACAATTACTAAATACTTTATATTCTACAATTCAAAACAGGTGCTCACAGAGTCAGTCCAGGGTCCAGGGTGTTCAAATGGCCGCCTAAGAAATCCTCCCAGTCAGTGCCGATCACTACATCACCAGACACCACAACTCACATCTTTGTGTGTAGTCCTGACAGGGGTCATGTCAGGTCATCTGGTGCCTTGTCTTGGACTTCTAGTTCAAGTTCACAAAGTAGTGCTGGGTCTTCCTCGTCTGGACAAACGTCTACAAGTGATTCCTCTTCACCAAGTGCTGCTGGGGTTGTGAGGAACATCTTTGGTAAGGCAGCGGATGGTACAGGTGGTTCTTCAGGTAATTTTAAAAAACTTGATCAAGATTGAAATTAAGTTTAAGTGACTGAGGGTGGAATGAAAGATGCTTTTACTAGTAGACTTTTTCTAGTTTTAGTATATACATGTATATATTAAGTGAATACTTGACTTAATGTTAGAAGAACAACAATAAGTGAATGATTTTTAGAACAAATTTATTTGCCCAGGGTGGCCTAGCCTATCTCCATGTCATAGCACTTGTTTACTGTATGTCCCTGGAAAACATACATTACAGTACATATAACCTCATACATACAGACATGGCCATGGTTTATGTTTTTATACAGTTTCACAGGCACAGCCAGCCTCCAAAGAAGGTGAACAGCAGCAGTCATCACTGGACGACTCAGAACTAGACACCCTCCTGGCCAACTACAACATGGACCAGTGCACATCCCAACAACGCACTAGCACGGACAACAGCAACAAGTTCGGCCTGTTTGGCGTCTCCAGCAGTTGCCATGGAAACGATGACGACAGCTCTGACGGGGAAGACTCACGGCCAAACCCGTTTGAGATGTTACCAGACGAGCTGTTGGAGAACATCTTCTGTCAGATGCCGATGTTGGACCTGTGTCTGCATCTCAGCCTGGTGTGTCAGCGCTGGAGGGAACTTATTCAGAGGGAGACGGTGAGGAGTTCTATGCCTGAATTGGGTAGGGTTAGGATTAGGCACGGTTCTGGATAGTCTCTGCTTATCCAAGAACATAGATTTGCCCAGGCACAGTCCTGGATAGTCTCTATATAGTGTATGTATCCAAAAACGCAGATTTGCAGATGTTGGACCTGTGTCTGCACCTCAGTCTGGTCTGTCAGCGCTGGAGAGAACTTATCCAGAGGGACACCGTGAGTAGTTATTTTATCTAGAATTGTGCTTGTCTACATTGTAGTTCTGTGACTGAATGGGTTAGGGTTAGGATCAGGTATTACAGTTATGGATCTGAGCCTGGTGTGTCAGCGCTGGAGGGACATCATACAAAGGGACACTGTGAGTATACAGAAGTGTGCCTATCGGGACCAGGCACGGTTCTGGATAGCCTCTATTGTATCCAGAACCGTGTTTACTACAGTAGTTCTAAGCCTGAATGGGTTAGGGTTAGAATCAGGCATGGTTCTGGATTTCAAGAAAGTAGGTTTGTCCCAGGCACAGTTCTGGGGCAAATCTACGGAAGTAATCTTTATTTTGTACAGTCAAACCTGTACAAGTGACATGTGAACACTTTCTGATGGCCCCTTATATAATTTTTCCCATATATTACTTACATAATTTTTGCCATTGACACAACCAATAAGAATCTTATCTATAGTGACCACCTGTACATGTCCACATAGACCAGATTTTAGCGGTTTTCTTGTTCAATTTATGACTGTATTTCCAACTCTAACCAGCTGTCCTACATTTTCTAATCTCACCAGTTCATCCCATGGAAGAAGAAGTACCACAAGCTGAAGCAGGGGTGCCCTGAAACTGTCCAGGAGGTCAATGACCTGATGAGAACACACAGCATCACGGCTACAAAGGACGGCTGTCTGCTTCAGCTCATCAGGTAAACAAAGGGTTCAGTGGCGTAAAAGTTTTTCATATTTGCTGCCGATCTCGAGTTTTGATAGCTAGCAAACATGAGATTGAGAGGTCACAGGTTTGATTGCTGTAATTCCTGGCTTATAGACATTATGTCCTTGGGAAAGGCAGCTTACACGACTTTGAATGGGGAAGTAAAAGGTGGTGTAAGGAGAGGGATGAGCTTTCCCTTCCTGTTCCGTGCCCTGAACACAGTGGAGTAACAACCCACTGCCCCTACAGCCTCAAACAAGGCTGGCAATGAAAACATACATTGCCATGGCGACAGTGGTTGCTGTTAGGGTTATTGTTTGCATGGCACTGCCATCATTTCATGATTTTGAGGAAGACTTGGTACTTGTTAAGTCTAGACAGATACAGTGCACTCCTCCCCTGAGTGTATAGTGAACGAGCCCCAGGGTTACAGAAAGTATGGCCATCCGGAGCAGAGAGATCTTCCCATTGCAAGGGTTTCCAGGAATGTGGGCATAGATGTGGGTCAGAGACATGCCTGTGGACATTCCATTCCTGTGGACAAAATGCCTGTACAATTCCTATAATTCTTGCAGACTGCACACAATACTGTACCATTAGGCTCCTCCCTGAGACGTCGCCAAAAAAGGTTACAGGACTAGTACTGCCTTTTACATTTTTTTCTACCACGTGCAGGGCATGGTCAGTTCTAAATCTCTTGTTGCTGAAAACTTTATTTCCCCAGATACATGTCTAGTTGGCAGAAGCGAGAGGAGGCGGCCATCTTGTCTCGCCTACAGACCCACCCCCTGTCTACAGCAGCACAGGACCTCATCAGGACCAGGGCAAAGGACTGTCTTATAGATGGGGTGAGAACTTTACAGTAGTGGTAATACTATAGAACCAAAAGGTCCTGGGTTCGATCCCCGGACACCCCCAGTCTGCATCAGCACAGGACCTCATCAGGACCAGGGCTGGGGACTGTCTTATAGACGGGGTGAGATTAACATTAAGTGCTACTAGTACTGAGTATCTGCTTTGGAAACAATAGCCATTCCTTCAATTACCAGAGTTGAGGTGTTCAAAAACTTTTTTTTCCTAGAACTTTGTAGAGTGGAACTCATTGCTGTAGGTGCATTATCATTAGATAGCTTTAAACAATGATTGCAGTTAGATGTGCAAAGATTTAGGTGTAACAAGTCATTCTATGTAATCAGCTACCTCTGTGCCACTTACTTGTGAAGCAGGTGTGTTATGCAGAATTTTAGTTATACTGGCCATATAGATACAGGTACAAAAATGTCCTAATTGACTTCTGTAGGTGTCACAGTGAAACATACATGTACTGTAACAGTTACTGTTCTGTATACCTGCTAGGCCTGTCCAGCCTGGTCAGTGGTGGCGGCTGTGGTGGTCCTGTCCACTTCGGTCAGTGATATCCAGACCCTTCTGCGTGTGCTGACCAGACACCCCACCCCCTGTATGATAGTGGACGTGCTGGAGGGACTGTACTGTATCGCTACTCTACTCTTCTCTCTGAGGACTCACTTCAAAATCAACATGGGGTGAGAACTATTGTTGTCACCTAATTTGAAAATTTTATAGCACTGATGGATTTTTATACAGTAGATGATAATATATGTATTAGCATTATGCAATTTGCAAAGTGACCAGTCTGAAATAGAAAGAAACCCTTTCTCTCAAGCACTTTGCAATATGTTAGTTGTCAACAGTGAGTTGTGTAGTGGAAAGAGTATGTTGCTACATTGTAAGAAAAAAGAACTGTTGCAATGTAAAGCAAGTAGGTTCAATCTAGCTACTTGCTACATTGTGCCTAGTTAGTCCTTAATCTAAAGCAACATTGAAGAGAGTCAATGATGATTTTAAAACTGTGTCCTTCCAGTCTCCACTACCGTCTGTTCTACACCCTGTACCTGTATGAGAACTGATAATAATGAACCGTGTGTTCCAGCCTCCACTACCGCCTGTTCTACACCCTGTACCTGTATGAGAACGCCTCCTCCGTCTCCTGTGGTCAGCTGACTGCTCTCAAGGGCAAACCCAGAGGTCAACAGTCCATGATGAGACACAGGTCAGAGGGCAAAGTTCGGTGTTCTAAACTTTCGCATTCCTTAATAATGGCATACGAAAATTGCTGTGTTTTAGATCTGATTTTAGAAAGGTCAGTGTTCTAGCCAGGATTTTTTCATAGCTTAGGGGTCGGGTACAGAAGAGCAACTTTTGTGGCACAAATCACACATTGAGCCGAAATATTTTAAAACTCATAACCCCCTGAGACACTATTTCTTGTTTAGTGAGGAACAGATTTTGTGAAGTTAAGGTTTTTTGCTATAGCTTCATTCTTAACTTATATTTTCATTTTTTTGCAAGATTTATGAAGGTTCTCCCTCCCCAAACACCCCTATGGTGGTTGAAACTTAGCATAGGTGTCAAAATTATAGCATAGGGGTCAAAATTATAGCATAGGGGTCAAAATTATCGCATAGGGGTCAAAATTATAGCATAGGAGGCCCCTATGCTAAAAAGGCCTGGCTGGAACACTGAAGGTGAATCTACAGATACATCAATTTTCTGAAACACATAATGTGTTATTTCTGACATTACTGTATCACAGATCAGGCAAAGACCGAGTGCGCCTGTCTCATGAACAACTCCGGATCATCAACCATGAACTCAAACCCAGAGAAACCATCAAGATTATTGCATTTGCAGGTAAATACAAGTTCACAATCACACACAATTCTCTAAATTAGTCTAATATTAAACTGAGTCTAAACTGAACACAGCTTACTGTGTGTGAACAGTGCTAATGATAAGATCTGGCTCAAGTGTTTGTTTGAACCTCACTGCCGTCTTTGTAGCTAAGGAATTTTTCACTGTCTTGTATGTTGATGTTCTGTTATTCATGTCTGTCATTGTACCAAATATACGTGTGACTGTGATGTAAAAATTTTGTAGTGTGGTGAAGAGCTTGGCTTAAATGCATTTTTTGTTTCCAGTTTGATGTAGTGAACTGTGTATTTTGCAGGTACAGGCAAGACTACAACCCTGGTAGAGTACACCAAGCTCCGTCCACACATGAAATTCCTCATGCTGGCCTACAACAAGTAAGAGTCAGTTTTTTAAGAGTGTGGACATGAGGGTAGCACCTAAACATTTGTTTCATTTCTTGAACTTCATTGTCAGTATTGTGGACTATAAATGTAGAAACAAGGACGAATTCATCAAAAGATTACAAACATTGCAGACATTGAGCGGGTGTGTACATTAAACAATATACACACTAAGCATTAAAACAAGGGCATGTCATGATCAGATCCTGGTGTTTGATTGAAAGATTGTTTAGTTCCTTCTACAGCCATTCTTCCCAGTGTACAGTCTACTACGATTCAAAATCTAGAGTCTGATTTTCCTGCTTTTGTTGTCCATACACAGATCCGTCCAGGAGCAGGCAGTTAAAATATTCCCAGGAAATGTGGAGTGCAGTACTGTCCACTCTCTGGCATACTCTGACTGTGGAGAAAGGTATGTTTCAGCTTTGGTATTAGGAGCATGTTGGCAGAACTTATACTGCGCCTGCGTGAAACCCTGATTTTTCACGGTTTTCGTTGGATGTCTGGTCACTGTTGCATCAGAATTTTGCCTGTTGCAGATGATGACGATATCTACAGATGAAATGGGACCTTACATACGTGAATACGACCTTATATGAGACATTCTATACACAATATATCATGGGTTTCACACAGGTGCAGTACGTTCTGCCGACGTGCTGGTATTAAGGCTCAAAATACTTTTCTTTATACATCATGTACCAGTTTGCAAGAGATGTTTGTGGAAAAGACTGAAGTGCTCATACTGTTTTTAGTGATAACCTTTACAATTTTTTTAAAAATTCAGATTTCAACACAAGCTGATCAAGTACGGTGTAAAGACTGACGATATCGCCAGAAGCCTTCGGAAACACAGTCGGTATAACTACGTGTTCGCCAAGTATGTACTGGACACTCTGACCAACTACATAGCGTCTGCTGAGGATGATGTCACCACTGCCCACGTGCCTGACACCAAGCCGGGAAAGGGTGGGACCAAAGTGCCAATCTCTCACCAGGACAAACTGGTTGGTGGAAAGTTTAAACCATCTTACTTACTTTTATGGTTCTCAGTGTTACTAATTTTTGTACCCATTTTGTGCTACCTATTCATTTTGGTTTTACATGTTGTATAATTGTTTTCATGTTCACTGACATCCTTGGAAATCAGCAAAGAAAAGCTGTAGGGGCAAGCCAGTTGTTAACATGTAATAAATGAAATAGATAAAAACTTTTTGAATTAAAATGCTGGTAATGTAATTGGTTTGATAATGACTCTTTTCATGAATATCTATAATATATACTTCTTGCTTGTAGTTTTACATGACACTGCAAAAAGTATCCTAGAAAGCATTTGTCTCTGAAGGTATAAAGATGATGGCAGAACTTACAATTGTTGAATTTGATCTTCACAGGCAATAGCAGAAGAAGCCCAGCAGATTTGGGACCGAATGTCTGATCCAGGGAACCGTGATGTCTGGATAAGTCATGATGGTGAGCACCATCTTGTGTTTCTGTGTCACATATGATGTTATTATGATCAACTAAAAAGGTAACATATGCAAAGCAAATGCATAATGTTTACCTTCACCTGGTTTAACCCAACAAATTACTACTCTGTTTATTCTAACCCCAACTCTGTCCTTTCAGTTGCTACATAATGTAATCCAACACCAAAGGGTGTCTGCTGCAACACCAGTTACCTAGCTTGGTGGCAGCCATCTGGTCCAGGTCATTGACCTTATTTGTTTGGAGGAGAAGAAGGAAAAAAAAAACAGAGCAAAAACAATTTGTTCAATTTCTCTGTCTCTATCCAGGTTACTTGAAAGTGTACCAGTTGAGTCGTCCACAGATCACAGACTATGATTGTCTGCTCATAGATGAGGCTCAGGACTTAACTCCAGGTAAAGGAATTGCTACTGCACGTTCATTTGTATCCATATGTTTGCTTGTACTGTAGGTATGTCTGTAGGTAGGTTTGTCTGTCCTTTTGTTGGGTAAAGATTATTATAATGTGTCACCTAGCACACTTTGCTTGAAGTATGTCAGACTGCAAACCACACAAAATGTAACTACCTAGGATAGTCTATAAGTACATGTAGTCCCTGTTGGGACTTTTCCATTTGGTTTTAGCTGTCTCTCACCATTGTTTCCCCCAGCCATCAATGATATCCTGTTAAGGCAGGATGTGGCCAAAATCCTGGTGGGAGACCCTCACCAGCAGATCTATACATTCCGAGGGGCCAAAAATGCTATGCAGGAAACGGCATGTACACACACGTACTATCTCACACAGGTTAGTACAGTTTTATCCCTCTGTGTCTGTATAAAGTTTCTGTTTTGAACTTGAATGAAGAAAAGTGGTATGGAGTATAGCTTCATGAGCCAAGGATTGTGGTGATCCAAAATTTTTTCCAAAGAGTAGAACTCGCTGCCTCCAAGTACAGTACGGGAATCATCAATCACTAGATAATCTTAAACAATGCTTAATTTAGATGTGCAAAGGTTCGTTGAACAGGTTGTTCGATGTGATATAGAGCCAGCTGCCGCCGGGCCGCATGCTTGCAAAGCTGGTTTGTTGGAAACAAAATGTGGTTTAAGTTTTAACCAGCTATACAGATACAGAACCTGGTGTGTTACACAGAAGAACTTGTTTGATGCAGATTTTGAGTTTTGCTGACTTTTCCAATCTTTCTCTACCCTCCAGTCCTTCCGGTTTGGCCCAGAGATAGCGTATGTTGCTGCTTGTATGTTGAATGTCTTGAAAGGTGTGAAAACAAAGACATTGGTGGGCAGCAGCAAGACAGGTGAGTTTTCTGGAAATAAAATTATACTAAAATACTTATTCGTTTGAATTTACTGTTTAGGGTCTAAAGATTTCTTTATATATTTATGTACATCGACATTTTTGTTGTTGTGTAAACTTTAAACTATTTTGATTCCAGTTCTATGCTTGGTATTTGTCTTCCCTTTTGCTTTTGAGTAAATGATAAAAAGAATGATTACGAAAGAAAAAGATTTCTGTAGCTTTGAAATTTGCTTCCTGTACCCTGGAACAAAGATTACTCTCTGATTATAGTTAAAGATTTTTTTCCTATCCCCATATAGGTACTGTGCTGGGTACGAAACAGGGTCAGGAAGCTGTGATCTGTCGGATGAACTTCACCCTGTTTAATGAAGCAGTCCGACTCACCAACCCCAGCAAACCTCCTGTTAGGATCGCTTTTGTTGGGGTAGGAACAGTGTTTATCAATGGTCATGTCCTTGTAAGGCCACACCAATTTAATTTGTTAGTGCTCAGATTTTTTCAGAAAAATATAAAGCAACAGGGCAAAAAAATAAAACAGGTCCAGGCATCCTATTATAGCCCCAAATGCTACAAAAGGAGCCATGAAGTCAACACAAAAGGCTGGGTTAATATTTAAACAATTTTGAACTTCAAACCACTGCATTGATAGATGGAAAAACTGTAATAACTAGGAAGAAAAGGACTTTCCTCAACTGTTAGGGGCAAAATATGAGCATATTTGAGTTGATTTAGAACCAGAATCTTTTTTTTTTTTGCAAATCAGAAAAAAATGAAGAGGCAAATTCGAGAACCAACAAATTAAATTGGTGTGGCCTAACGCCTAGCAAAAAATGTTGTGTTTCCTGTTTCCCAACCGACCCTAGGAAAAACTGCCGGCCCTAGCTTTGTTTTGTGTTGACCCCTAGCCTGCAATTAAGGGACATAAATTTTTCAAGCTGATCGACCATTTCTGGTCCCCTCATACTTTTTTTCTTGTATTCACTGTTCAACTATTGCTGTTTTTTTTTCCTTTAGGGCCTGGCAGGGTATCAACACAACAGGATTCTGGACATCTATTACCTCTCCCTCAGTCCTGAACAGAGGAGAAAAAGTAATTTGAACTCTCAGCATTGTATTGTTGGTCAGACATTCACTATTATGCTGTGTACAGTATTCAATTGTATAAGACCTTTATTGTATGTTAAAATTGATGCTCTTACAAGCTAAGCACAGCACATGGTGATAAAGTAGTGCTAGGTATAATTACATTCATATAAGATTCTGGTATAGTATTACAACTACAATGGCTAATGTATATACATTAATAATTTTGTACTAGTTCTATTGTACAGGCTCAACTTCTCGCTTCTTAAGACAGTTCTACATGTACATGTATGTGTAAGAACAGATGGAGCTTAAGATGAGAATATGTTAAGATATAAGTTTTTCTTTGCTATCTAAACACAACATGTAGAAAAGGCTAAGAAACTCATCTTGTACTTGATTGAAGAGAATTTTCCTCTTTTTTTTGTTAGTCTGTGCATTACAGGATCCCAATGCTCCTGTTGTGTTTTTGCAGAAAATGTAAAGGTTCGCGATCACTTCATTGAAAAGTTTACCAGCCTGCGCAAACTGAAGGAGTTTGCAGAGAAAGCTCAAGATGTGGAACTCGGTGGGAAGATCAAGATCGTGGAGGTTCATCGTCACAACACGCCCAAGTTCATCAAAAGGATCAAAGAAAGAACAACAGACGACTTGAAGACAGCTGGTAAGGCTCTGGAATATACTTATTTGTTTCTTAAGATTTTACTAGTATACATTGTGAAAGGATTGGTACACTGTATAACAGGTGACTGTCACCTTTTTGAGATATTAAACCTGAGACCAGACTGTAAGGTTTGAACCACTCACACCGGGAAGGTCCCCTACTCTTTTCGATAAGTGCGGTGGGTTCTTTCGAGGTGTGGCTCTCCTCAAACATAGGGCCTGCAGCTTTACATTTTCATTTGAGAGGACGTCCATAACCAAAGCTTTAACCTTAAGGTACTCGATCCTGGAACCTTTAGAGTTGTCAGCCCAAACCACAAGACCATCTTAGCTCACTTGCAGAAACATCTTTACTTAGCTTGCTGCCAGCAGAAACATGTGAAACTGGACTGTTAACATAATTATACTGCTTGTATGGAAGTTCTGTTTTGTTTTCTGTTCATTTGTATGTTTTTCCTCCACAGATGTAGTGTTGACATCAGCTCACAAAGCCAAGGGGCTGGAGTTTGATACCGTGAGACTGGCTGATGACTTCTGTGGAGCGAGTTCTCCTATGGCACCGGACAAGCCAGAATGGGGTAAACTTATGACTCGATATTTAGATTTGGATTATCTTGTTGTACTTAACTCTTTTAAGTTAACTGACAAGCCATGACATATTTTCACTATTAAGTTGCTCTGAGTCAGTGTGCCTAAAACTAAGAAACTCAATTCAATTTGAATGCTGGGAGAACATGGTATGAGCTCCCTGGCACATTTCATCATACGCTATCCATAAAGTCTTGTGCGAATAAGGTCATGTGTCTATAACCATAACTATTGTGGGCTTACGTTCAGACGTGATTGGTCATCAAGCATCCAGATAAATTTGACAGTGGTCATTAAAAAATTGATCCTTATGTACCCTTTTTGTTGAAAGTTGAGCAGCACTGTCAATTCAACATCGCTTTCAATATCGTTGTTTTCCCTTAGAAAAACTGGAGGAAGATGAGAAGAACCTCCTGTATGTAGCAGCCACCAGGGCCAAGAAGAGTCTACTGCTGACCCAGACAGCCATGCTGGTACTGAAGGATGTGCAAGTCAGTTCTATATCTCAATTTAAACCCTTTTAATCCTTACTAGGTCTTCTGCTGGTTCTGTAATTACCTAAAAACTGATAATCTAACTTTCAATCTTGCTGATGCTGATTCAGTTCTACAATTACATATACCTGTACCTTAAAACTGGTGGTTTAAAAAAAAAGAAAGCATGTAGGATGTACCAGAAGTCTCCTTGAAGGATGTGCAAGTGAGTTCTTTATCGAACTGCCTTTCCAGTCCTTGCAAACCATGATAACAGGAAGGATTTACACTGATACATACAAAATGTACAACTAATACAGTTGTAAAAGCAATGTAATTAGCACTGTTTAGTTATATCATACAATTGTATGAGTGATAATGGATTGGGATCTATGATGTACAATTCATAAATACAAACTGTTTCTAATTCCCAGAAGATTGAAATATTTGATTTCTTGTTCCTTTTGTCCCCTAGGAGCAGTTTATCTACCCCTCCCTGACCCAGGAGTTGTTGAACTCAGGTGTGGTTCTCACCTGTACCAACACCAGGTGTGGTCAGGCTGTACCTGCTGACAACCTGCTCACCATGAACAGGAGGACTGTCACTTATGTGAGTTTCTTTGTTTTGTTGGTGAAGGTTAGCCGCCCAGGAAATAAGCCAAAAAGCAGTTACTCAAGCAACTGGATATGATTTCGGAAAGGTCAGACGTTTCAGGTAGCATCCACTACCTTTTGTCAGTGACTCTGCAGACTTGTAGTGGATGCTACCTGAAACATCTGTCAGTAACCATTTCCAAAATCATATCCAGTTGCTTTTTTGGCATATGCTGCTGGTGTATTGAAAACTGTGCTTTATCAAGAACCATACTCAGGCACAGTTCTGAATAGTCCTTGTGTATCCAGAACCGTGCTTTATCCAGAGTCATGCTCAGACACATTTCTGGATTGTCCATGCATATGCAGAACCGTGCCTAGAGCAAAGCTACATTCTTGGATACACGTAGACTATCCAGAACCATGCCTGATCCTAACCATTGACCATAACATCCTTCTGCAAAAACTCAGTGCCTTTGGAATCATTGGCTCTACAGCTAAATGGTTCCGATCGTACCTCTGTGAGCGATCTCACTGCACAGTTGTTAATGGACAAACATCCAATTTCTGTAATGTTGATTGTGGAGTGCCGCAAGGCTCCATTTTGGGACCGCTTTTGTTTGTAATGTATGTAAATGATATGCCAAAATGCATACAGCACTGCAAAATTGCTTTATATGCTGATGACACTGTGGTATACTTCAGCCATCCTGACTTAGAAACCATACAAAGGGCTCTTCAGTCTGATATGGACCGTCTTCATCACTGGTTTGTGGCTAACTGTCTTTCTGTCAATGCCAAGAAGTGCAAAGCCATGCTTATTGGCACACGGCATCGGCTTAGGGGAAAAGACCAGTTACAAGTATTAATGAATGGAAACCCCCTTGAAGTAGTCCCGGCTTTTAAATACCTTGGTGTAATTGTTGACAGCGAACTGAAATGGGATTTTCATGTTATTCATGTTCTGTCTAAACTAAAACGCGCGCTTGGAATAATGCGTCAGGTCCAACCTTTTGTCACACAATCTGCACTTGTCACCTTGTATAACACCATATTTTTATCACACTTAACTTATGCCTGTACTGTCTGGGATGGTGCCATTTCGGTACAATATGATAAGATGCAAAGAATGCAGAACCGAGTAGGAAAATTGATCTTGAAAGCCCCGTACAGAACACCATCACGGGAAGTCCTCTCTCGTCTGGGATGGATGTCCGTGAGAACTCTACACCGTCAACATAAAGCCATGCTAGTGTATAGGGCCTTGGACAATTCTTTACCACCACATATGCGAGGGGTGTTCATCCGGTATAGAGATGAAGCCTCCAGATCCACCAGACAGAGCACATTGGACAACCTCATCATACCGAGGCCCCAACTGGAAGTGTACAGGCGGTCACTGAGGTACTCGGGGGCGACTGTGTGGAATTCCTTGCCACCACATGTACGAGCAGCCCAGTCATTGGGAACATTTAGAAGTATGACAAGGAACTTGGACTGATAACGGACTGATGATTTGCTATTTATTTTTGTATTATATTTTGATTTGCATTTTGTTTTGATTTTGTATTATATTTTGGTTTGATCTGTAATTCCGTGACCCCGCCCTCACCCTCGACCTTGTTGAAAAGCGGTATGTACCGAACAAGCATTCGAGATTAAATAAAGGCTTACTACTACTACTACTACTACTAACGCTAACCCAATTAGGCATACAAACATGTAGAACTACAATGTAGACAGCCATGGCCCCCACTGTCTAAAGTGCTTCTGTGTTATCAAGGTTCCAACTTTTTTTTTCTTTACCTTTTTCTCACAGGGCACTGGGCATGGACTAGAGGCGCCCCCTGGCCCCCTGTGCCCAAAGTGCAGCAAGCTGCCGGCCCCGGGGTTCCGTGACCTGCTGTGTGACCCCTGTCCTGGGGAGGGGGGTGATGTGGAGGAGAGGGAGGAGGAACTCAGTGATGATGATGATATGAACGTGATGTTCTTCGCCATCCACTACAATCCCTTCTTCAACATGTAGGAGTTAAGTCATGTTGTATAAAAGCCATAGTATGTTCTGTACCAATATACAGTGATGATGGTCAATGGATGATGATGAGGAGTAGCCTGGGTACCATCCAGATTTTGAGAAAACTCTAGCATAGCGGAGTAAAATCTGGCTAGTGCAGGAGGAGTACAGTGATGATGACATGAACATTCTCTTCTTGAACCAAAGTTCAAGGTTCTTTTTCGCAATCCACTATAACCCCTTTTTCAACAGGTAGGGACATCTATTACTGTTGTATAAAAGCCATTATACTGACAGTGTAGAGGTTGCTTCTCAGTATGTTCTGTACCTAATATTGAGAAGCGATGATGTTCAATGGATGAGGAGGAAGAGGAGAAGGAGGAGAACAGTGATGATAACATGAATGTTCTTCGCCATTCACTTAAGTATAACCCCTTTTTCAACAAGTAATAATATTAATAACTGTTCTACTGTTGAGGTTACATTTTGTTGTTCTCAATATGTTCTGTACTAACATTAAGATGTTCAATGGATGAGAAAGAGGAGTAGCCTGTGTACCATCCAGGTTTTGCTCCGCTATGCTAGAATTTTTTCCAGCATAGTGTTTTATGGATGGGGACAAGGATGACATAAACGTTCGTTTCTCTTTCAAAAGGTTACAGTTACTCATTAACAAGCAAAACAGTTAGATGTTCATAGTCATGGTAGCATTCATTATTTACATTACCTTTTGTCAGTAACTGAGAGAGATCTGTCAACAGGTACCATGGATCCAAAGTTTGAGTAAAAGAAAGTCATTTTATTCAACGCACTTTCACGTTATTTTAACCACATTATATAAATTATGACATAATAAGCTTTTAAAACACTTTTTAGAAAGGTTTCAAAGTGTGTACTACCGGTATGTAAAACTTTCACAGTAATCAATTGATTGCTAGGTTGGTTCATTAAAAGTAATTCAAAAAGCAATATTCGAAACTTGCATTTTTGGAACATAAATACACACAAATATAATCTCATCTCAACAGCATTCTGTAAATGATGCTAAAGAATAATTTTTGGATGAAATTTTATCCCTTTTACTTCCTAGAATAGGCTCGTCGTAGAAGCTTGTCAAAAAACATTCTCTTCTTCCCATATACTCCGCAGAGCTCCTGGCCGACAGAAAATGCCTCGTTCCATCTGCTTGGTTTTACCGTCATCTTTCCCTGTTTGTCTCTCTTGTTGGATTTACAGTAATGCGAAACAGCGTGGTTCACATGGATGAAATGTTTTACCTCGCCAAAAAAGTCGTCGCCTTCTTGACTTATTTGCTGGTGAAACAATTCGTTAAAACGTCTGTATAGCATTACGTCGGCAATGTTGTGTTCGTAAAAGGCATGTTCCATCTCTTTAGTGATGGGTACATCGCGTTTATACGTCTGTGTTCTCGTGTGAACGCCCATGGTGTAGAGGATGTTATATAGCGTCCAACACATGCGACGCTTTAGCAAAACCAACGATGCAGGCAAATGTTCTAGGATCATGACAGTCGAGAAATCGTTTTCTATCCCTTCCACGAACTCTTGAACAGCGGTGGAGTTTTCGTAGTCGCTCTCTTTGAGACCCAAGTCGCGTGCCATACAATTTCTGAAGCAATAGTGCTCCCTGTGTTTCGGACTTAGCGGTACTTTGTATTTTGGATCCCAGTAAGCAGGGTTTGTGAGGTATGTAGTGAATAGAGCGGTTCCTCTGCGAGTTTTCTCCTTGAGTCCGGAAAATCTTTTTCCGAGGTTAAAATACAGGAATGCTGACTGGAGCCGTTTCAGTGGTTCTCGTAGGATGGTTATGTACCTAAAAATGAAACAAGATTTAGACGAGAAAAGTAAAATTTGCAGATGTATGATGTTTATTTTCACATGATCTAGCCTAGCAAACTACTGGTCTTAAACACATTCCATCGAAACACATTAATATATCATTAGTGTATGAGGTGACCAGCCCCACCGCCTCTGTCCTGCCACTTGCTACATAATGTAACCCAACACCACAGGGTGCCTGATACAGCACCAGTTATCATGGTGGCAGACGTCTGGACCCGGTCATTGACTTTGTCCAAAAACGTAGATTTTCCCACGGTTTTGGATACGGGTGGACTATCCAGAACCGTGCCTGAGCATGATTCTGGATAGAGCACGGTTCTGGATACGCATGTACTATCCAGAACTGTGCCTGAGCATGGTTCTGGATAAAGCACAGTTCCGGATACGCATGTACTATCCAGAACCATGCCTTAGTATGATTCAGGATAAAGCACGGTTCTGGATACAGAACGTACCTTGTGTCTGGATTCATGATCTGGTGAAAGCGATCCCTGTTGTACATGGCGTGGTGAGCGAAGATGTTCAGGCGTTTTCCGCTGGGTGGATGTAGGTAGGCTCTGTCTCTGTGGGTAATGACATGGAAACAAAAGGTTAAGGACTAGCTGGTGTGTTGCGCCGAAGGGTGGTTATGCCGGATATACAGATATTGTTTAAGACTAAAGAAGTACTCTTCAAGCAGAGGTTGATTGTGGGAGATCGTTTGCTTTTTATATATGTTGGTGGTGGTAGCGACAAAAAAAACGGGCCATATATAAAAAGCAAATGATCTTCCACCATCAACCTCTGCTTGGAGACTATAGAGAAGGTAGTCCTAGAGCCTTTCTGAGGTCATGAGGGCAGTGGGCTGTTAGTCCACTGTGTCTAGGACACGGTATTGGAAGGTATTGGTATTACCTTTTAGTTGTAACGTTACCTCCCAACTATCCTCAAAATGTCTTGCTGAGGGACGACTGCGGTGTGCTAGATTTCTGTAATAGCTCGAGGAATGAATCCACTATACTAATATAAAATGAACAGCGTCTTAAGCAAGTGTGCTTCATTGAACCGCGACGGGGGCCGACATCGTCTACCAGATACCTTTGACCCAGTGTTGACGTCACACTTCAAAGAAGTCACGTGACAAGCTTCACTGGGTCAGTCTACTGAGGAAGACCAGAGTGACTGGTCGAAAGCTCTAGGTGAGATAATTTTTTGTGTTAGACCAAAAGTTTTAACTTTAAACATGTAACTACCAACACAGATTAACTTTCATGATAGTTTAAGTATGCCATACGTTGCTAACTCACCCGATCTTGCCCAGACTGCCTATAATAGAGGCGTCCCTTTTCCGTGGCAGGGCGGCCAGTAATCCATGCTCGTGTGCGAACCGCAGGACCAGGTGGGACACCAGGGAAGACCCGCACTTGTGAACCTTCAGGAACGCCACGTTTAGATGGGGCCGGCAGGTGGTGTTGTCTGTACTGTGTGTGTGGCTAGAGTACAGAGACAAGTTCCTCTGTTATTGAATGGATGCTGAGACCTTTTGACAATTGGTAGCTGTATTTCTTCGTGTAATGTGTATATGATCACACACGCACACACAGTAACACAACTAGTCACAATCACAGAGAGAGAGAGAGAGAGAGAGACACAACTACACACACTTTCAGTTTGCGCGAATTAGACCACGATAAAGACAGACTTCTAACAACAGAGAACGAAATGGCAGGCATATTTTGTCAGTAGAAAAGTAATGAATATCATACATTAGAACATCTATAGTCTTACCTCGATAGCGTGTCTCTGATTTCCGATTCTGCCGCTACAGAACCGGAGTCCCTATGTAAGATTTCACCAGAGTCCTCTGAAGCTGCAGGTGCGCCAGTCGCGTTTATGGCTCCAGGTTCCGTCAGAACGTCCCTCAGTCCCCGCTGATGCGCCAGTTGTGCCTTCGGTTGTAGCATTGATGATAAATCTGACATGACAGGGTACATCCTCAGCAATACACTGTCCTGGAAGGTATAGGTAAAAATAAATGTAATCCCAAAGCCTGAGGCCGTAGGGGCAGTGGGTTTTTGAGGCTGTAGGGGCAGTGGGTTGTTGATCAACGATGTTAGGAGCACGGTATTGGAAGGTGGGACCCATCCCTCGCCTTCTACTTTCATCCCTCTTCCTTTTACCTCCCCAGCCGAAGTCAGGTACCCATTTTACACCTGGGTGTGTAAAGCTCCCTTCCCAAGGACACAGCGTCTAGCCGGTAATGCCCGAGGAATCAAACCCGAGACCTGTCGATCTGGTGTCCACCAGCCTGGCCACGCAATCTTTCGAAGCCGGCCATAAATTTGCATCGGCTCCACAATAGATTTATAACAACAGTTAGTCTGTATTTTCTGGCTGTTACCTTTCTCAGCCTTTCCTTCCGTGCCTTTATTCCCTATGTTTCTGCATAACGTTAATTTAAGATTATTAGACTTTAGCTTTTTTTATTTTGAATACCCCACCTGTACATGGTAGACGGCTCCTCCCACCACGATGACCAGGATGAAGACTGCCTGCAGACGGCTCACCTGCATACTGAAGTTTCCCGACTAAAAACTCAACAGGCAGCGACGGAGAACGCTTAGAATGGTGAAGGCAAGGGGGTAAATATATGGCAGAGGAATAAATAAATGTATGTATTAAGGAATGAATGAATGAATGGATGGATGAATGAATGAATGCCTTCAAGTACCAGAGTTATCAACCAAGGATTGAGGTGTTCGAAAATTCGTTCTTTATTTCCTAGAACTATTGCAGAGTAGAACAAGCTGTCACCAAGTACAGTAGAGGCATTGTCATTAGATAGCTTTAAACAGTGCCCAGAGATAGATTTTCAAGGGTTAGGTGTAACAAGTCGATCGGTGTATATAGCCAGCTGCCGCCGCGCTGCGTGCCTGTGAAGCTGGTGTGTTACGCCGAAAGGCGGTTATACCGGCTATACCGATACAGAATGACGACCATTGTTGCACATTTTTGCCACACTTGGCTAAGTACAGGTCACAACAAAACAGGATACGAACACATACGGTTGACAAGATAAAATTAACTGTCAATAGATAAATTCAACGTCTCCTTCCTTGTAAGTTATACTAAGTGAAAAAAAAGAACAGATTTTATATCATGTGATACTATGTATATGCAAGGATATGTGTTAACTGTGTATATAGTCTTTGGACTTAATAGTACTTCTAGCAGTAACCCGTATGTTGTATTTTGTCCATGACCTTTTCTTTCATGACCTCATGAGGTCAGCAGGCAGGTTCTAGTATCTTATGAATAAACAAAGCCCCAAACAAACAAACAACCAAAAAGTAAAATACCGTCCGTTCCCTTCATCTAGTCACATGTAGGTATACGAGAGATAAAATACTCTTTTTCTGTGATATATGTATCGTGAATAGCAAGAATGAACGTATGAACCAAAAAGTCAACAACCGAATCTTTTCAAACATCGCCTCGAGCACCCTGTTGTGCACATGTCAATACCGCCATGTTACTTTTCAACAATGGAAGATACAGCGATCATTATATCACAATGCCTTCAAATATCAAAGTTATCAACCAAGATTTGAGGTGTTCAAAACTCGTATTTCCCCAGAACTATCGTAGACTGGAATTCGAACTCGTTGCCACCAAGCACAGTTGGGGCATCGTCACTAGAAAGCTTTAAACAACTCCTGCAATCAAATGGGCAAAGATTGAGCATAACAAGTCGTTCGGTGTGATATAGCTAGCTGCAGCCGCGCCGTGTGCCTGCGAAGCTGGTGTGTTACCGGCTATACCGATACAGAAGAAACAGTAACAATGATTGTGCATCGACCCCAAAAAGGTGGACACCTTGCCGAGTTTAAATCTATAAAAAAAACATGTCGACCAGGTCTTTATCTTTGGCAAAAAAATTGTTGACATTAAATGCCGTGTATATGTATGTTGTCTTTTCAAACAAGGACTACGTTACGTTACGTACATGTACGCCTGTAACGTTACTAACCAAAATCTCCAAGCAGATCCCTCTCAGTGGCAAATTGGCCAGGCAGTATCCATTAGCCAGAGAAGGTCGCCGGCCACCGACGGGTGGTGGGAGTAAATACAAAAAAACGGCCATATATAAAAAGCTAACGATCATTCCCCCACAACCTCTGCTTGGAGAGTAACTAACCAAACAACCAACTAAAACAGACATACGGATACTTCATGTACGCACGTACCGCTGGTAGAGTTGAAACAAACAGATTCAAACAGATACAAAGATTTAGTCGATAAAATTCCTGATAGTTCAGACGTGCGTGATAATTATAGTGCAATTTTTGTTTAACAAGGACAAAGTGAGTAGATTTTGTTCAACGGTTTCCGATGCACAACAGTAGTCCCTACCAGACTAACTACGCTGGTTATATATAGGAGAATATTTGCCGGGGGAGTTTGGCCGCCTTGAGGTTTGACTATGCTTCGGAGGGAACGAAACTACCTCCCCGCGGCCGGACTCCCTTGGCCAATTTGATTCTCTTTTTTGCCGAATTCTACGATCCTTATTCCCGTAGAAAGGCCTGGTGGAGGCTAACGCAACAGAAATAACGCGCAAATGTACACCCAGCGTTAATGCTGAATATCTCATATTGTTGGTGTCATAAACATGGGCACGATTACGGTTGTAGTACGCCTAGAAATTTTCTAAGAACTGTAATGATTTAAGAGATCCATTACAGATAAACGAACTTGGTCGAATAATCTAGGTTCTGTGCAATGGTATCTCGTACTTATGTGAACGAAATATGAGAACGACATACTTACGAACACAACGTTAACGTTGAAAAGCTTGTATTCTTGTCAGTTGTTGTGACAGTGCACAGTGCTAGTTCGAAGTATTCCAAGGCCGAGTCACCGAACCACTTAGATTAGCCAACGTGACACAAGAGCATTAGGCCATACTAATTTGACTATTTGGATGCCATCCTCTGGGCACTCCAAAACTGATGCGAGCGTGCAAACAAATCTGTGTGATCTCAGAAGGTTGACCAAATGACTGTACATAGACGTCATGTATTATATATTTACTAGTACCATGCATGTTGTAGAATATAGTATAATGCTAGACGTAGATGTAGTCTCACATTTCACTGTATTTTCTTTCTTATGTTGTTTGTAACTGCAATTAGCCCTCGGGCAAGTATTTGCAATAAACTTTCTAATAATAGTATATATATAATACTAAACAATACATTCCTTGTTTTTGTCCTAGCTTAGTCTTCTTTGCCTTCAAGTACTTTAAAAAAGTCGCAAAATTCATTTAGAAAACAGAGGAAAATTTCTGCGCGCGTGGACATCATCCATATAACCGGTCAGTGTTGCCGTAATTATAAAGGACAAGGCCGCAGTTAAACGGAGCCCTTATGACGTCAACGGATATGGGTGCAGCACAGAAACCTGTTTTTGGGTAGCCTCCGCCGTAGCAGGCTTATAGAGCTGGGGGTTTGGTGGTCTTTGGCTGTTTTCTGATTAGCCTCCGTAGCAGACTTATAGAACTGGGGGTTTGGTGGTCTTCGGCTGTTTTCTGATTAGCCTCGGTAGCAGGCTTATAGAACTGGGGGTTTGGTGGTCTTCGGCTGTTTTCTGATTAGCCTCGGTAGCAGGCGTATAGAACTGGGGTTTTGGTGGTCTTCGGCTGTTTTCTGATTAGCCAAAAAACGGGGGTAATTCAACCATGCCGGCTATATTGTCTATATGCAATCAGAAAATAGCACATAAAAGCTCCTGAAGACCCCCAAACCCCCAGTTTTCGGCGTGCTATGGAGGCTATTTTTGGGTCTTTTTCGCCCTCGGGGGCTTTTAACACAAACAGTTGAGAACCAGGCGGGATAATATATGTCTGCAATGTTGATCTTATTACTTTGTTGTAATCTTGAAAATATCAAACTAGCATGAAAGAATCGTTGAAGCATACAAGATACGTGGCGGTGCCACAGTTAAAATGGGCGTATAATGCTTTGGTTGATGGAAGATCATTTTTCCAGCGCTTAATTCGTGTAACGAGTTGTAATAATGTGTCGAATGTCCATGCTCGTATAGCCTCTACCGGGCTACTAGATATTTGTTAGGCCATGTTGATTTGATTATATGGATGACACCCGCGCGCATGAATTTTCGTCCGTTTCAAAAAAAAAAAAATGTTTCGACCATACTGTAAATCGTACAAAGCAGCTGCAAAATGAGAAAATATGTACGGTAAACTGCAAAAATTTCAAAGAAAATAATAATTCGAAAATACGAAGAATTGCTCAACCTTCATCACCTCGTAAATTTCATAAAGTAGACAACCTTTTTTTGGCCAAACTTTTCATTCTCGAGTTTGCACCAGTTTTGGGGTTCCCAGATGATATCATCCGTATAACCAAATCAACATGCCTTATTACGTTTTGTAACAACCTTGCCTGTCAGTCTGCCCGTCTGAGGTAAGAGATGCGATGCCAACAATTTCCGGCAGGAGGCGCTCGTGTACCGTCCACACGGTCCGTTGACGCCATGGCCTTGCCGTGAAAATTTATGGCCCTGTCATCGTAAATTATACTGTTTGTCTGTGTCGATATCAGTGCGTGGTTCGGTAGCTTCGATAGACCTTGGAATACTTTGTGTGGGCAAAACAATCAGCCAGGACTGTGCACTGTTCGATATAAGACTACAATACAAGCTCTTCAACATTAGTTTCGTAAGTATGTTATTCATTTCGTTTATAGAGGTTTTGAGCACCAAATTCGCACGGATCCTAGTCTATTTGACCTTGAGTAACGTCATTAGTGTTGCCAGATATGTTAAATCTTTTAAATCAGGACTTTTTGTCAAAACGTCTAGTTGTACTTCAACTATAATCGTGCATGTTAGTGTTAACGATATTATACAACTTGGGTGTTTCTTGCTTCATGTCATATATTGGAGTACTATTAAATGCCTACATGTAATTGACAGCTATCCGTATAGTTTTGTTAGTTGGTTGGTAACGTATTCGGCATACGTAACGTAGCCGTCAGTGTAAAATTACTAAAAGCACGGAAACAGTTTTTCTGTGGGTTTGGTGGTCTTCGGCTGTTTTCTGATTAGCCCAGTTCTAAAACGGGGGTAATTCAACCAGGCCGGCTATGTTGTCTATATGGAATCAGAAAATAGCACATAAAAGATCCCAAAGACCCCCAAAACCACCAGTTTTTGGCATGCAATGGAGGCTAGTTTTTCGCTGGTAAGATCCTGTCTACATGTCTGCATACATTGTTAACGCTACGTGACTAAAACAGGGCGAGGCTCGACAATGATAATGAAGACAAATGTATTTCTCGATTGTTTGAAACATAACCTGAGGTTATGGAACGCACAGCTGGCCATGGAGAGAGGTATTTGGCATTTGTTTAAAGCCTCGGTCACAACCCGCCGTACGTGCTTTTTGTCCGTACGTTTTTTGGGAGGCCACGTCTGCTACGTTTTTTCTGAAAACGTGGGGAAGGAGTGGCGTCTACGCACGTCACTCGCACGGTTGCGCTAAGTGTAAGAGTATGGTCTGCACACCAAGTCTGGCCGTGAGAGGTTGCGTGCATCGTACGCTGCGCAAGTGGTAAGTGAGTTGTACGTGCTTACAACGTACGATCTCTGTGCGATTGCAACTTTACCGTAAGGAGGCCGTACTCACACGTGCTTCTTCCGCACGGCACGTACGGGGCACGCGCGTCGCTCGTACTCGCACGCACGGGTGGTGAATCCGCAGACCGCACGCATGAAAAGTTTTACATGCACTTAAAGTTCTACGGCGTGTCTGCGTGCTCCCAAATCCGTAGGATTCCGTACGGATGGAGTACTCATCACGCACGGATGCCCTGCGTTTGCCCACGTTTTTGCACGTAGACAGCACGCAGAAGCACGTACGGCGGGTTGTGACCGAGGCCTGCATGACCTTTTTCGTAAGGCGTAATCAGGCCTTTTTAGTCTTCGTAATCCGTAGCCAGTCTCCCCAAAATTCAACGTAATTCGTAATAGTACATTAGCCGCAAAACTATGTCGTTGTCAGCTCTGAGAATTAAACGTAATTCGTAGTCGGCGGCGAAAAGTTTGCGTACGGTAATTCGTAGGCTTGATAAATGAAAGTTACTAGGTCAGATACACCCTCGCTAAAGAGCCACTTAATTCTATTTTCATCACTTTCCCATATGATGGTACTAGCTTAAGTTAATGGACGGTGTTTTCTTACTTTTCATTAAAAAAGCACCACATACACTGATACTGTAACAGTAGAGTTACAAAAACGTAACTGTAACACACAGAGTACTAATTTCTATACAGCGGTACAAACTTGGTATTTATGATTTAACATATCTCAAAAATAGTATTTTTTTCTCGTATATTTTAGCGTGAACACGTTATCCACCGAGCATGCAGTACAGTCGGTTGTCGCCAGTGTTCGTCCTTCTACTCATGCTCAGTATAGCGCTCTACTACAATGTGCAGGTTGGTATGATTGTATCCATGTTTCTGGACCGTTAATATGCGTTGAGATAATAATTGCAATAATAATAATAGCATATTC